TTACACAGTATTTAGCACAATTGTTTAAAAATATATTTTTCCCGGATTTGTTCAGTAAGATTCCGAAATCGATGTGATCTGCGTACTTCCAAACACTCCCCACCAATGCATTAACACCCCCAAATAACCAGGCTAACCAATGCATTAACACCCTCCAAATAACCAGACTAACCAATGCATTACCACCCTCCAAATAACCAGAATATCTAACCTAACCTAACCAATGCATTAACACCCTCCAAATCACCAGGCTAACCAATGCATTAACACCCTCCAAATAATCAGGCTAACCAATGCATTACCACCCTCCAAATAACCAGCCTATCTAACCTAACCTAACCAATGCATTAACACCCCCAAATAACCAGGCTAACCAATGCATTAACACCCTCCAAATAACCATGCTAACCAATGCATTACCACCCTCCAAATAACCAGGCTAACCAATGCATTAACACCCAAATAACCAGGCTAACCAATGCATTAACACCCTCCAAATAACCAGGCTAACCAATGCATTACCACCCTCCAAATAACCAGGCTAACCATTGCATTAACACCCTCCAAATAACCAGGCTAACCAATGCATTACCACCTTCCAAATAACCAGGCTAACCTAATTGAGCCTAATGACAAAACTTCATTGATTACGCGTCGAAAAACAGTATATATTAAAAAAACTTATATTTTCGTAGAACCTGAAAAATCCGCAAATTTTATTTCAGAAATTGCTTTAAAATAATCCACACTAACGAATAAGCTACTAGACAGTTCAATTTTTGTTGCACTAAAGTGATAACTTACCGTTTTAAGTCCCTCCACAACAACTTTATTTCAGAAGAAAATCATATAAAGTAATTTTATTGACAACGTCGCAAATTCTATGCGAAGGCCATAGATGACATACCGATGATCGATTAACTGTCAATCGAAAGTCATAAAATTGCTAGCTTGAGCTGATGTAAATAAATATATTTTCTTAATTTTTATGCTTACAAAGAAGATTCGTTACATTTTTGTGCTTAAATTAGATCATTCTCACGTCTATATAAGGTAATAAAGTACTAATATGTGATGTTTTTACTGAATCCGTGTAGAAAATTTAACATATTTACTGTCCGTCGCCTGTACCTAAAATACGTTTTTTTGCCGCTTTGTCCAAGATAAAACACATTCATCCAACAATTTTCTATGCTTAAAATATTCAGTTTAAGAACAATCTTATAATGAAATCCCAAAAAACGTTAAATGCGTGATCACCTATTGTGCACAGAGCCCAGATCATTTATGAAATTGGGGACTTAAATTAACTAAATTATATATATTTTTCTTGCATTTTAGCTTTTATGGGGTATTTCAACACTGAATTTTTATTTATTTTGGCCTTCTAAAGTAATAATTTCACTATATTTTCATTATATTATAGTTTATCTAAAAGCCACACTTGATTGAGGATAGAAAAATGTCCAAAATTTTACTGAAAACACTTTTCTTAACAAAGAAAAATTGAGACCAGATGGAAGATGGAAGTTTGACATTTCATATATCCTTTCTTTCTCTTCTATGCAATGAGAGAGACAAATATATTCTAGACCTAATCTAACAATTTGAAAATTTGCAACGTTGCCATATCTTGTATTTTTTCGGGTAATTACGGATTTTAAATAAATGACCTATTACGAAAGCTGACAATAGCTAAATATGTAACCACAAAATTGCACGAAGGAGTTTTAATAGCATTGGTTTACTAGAAGCTAGGGAGCCGCACTCCACTTTTGCTCCTTTGCTTCCGCGCATGCGCATGAGTTATACAAAATCGATCAGGTTTTTTGCGTGCAATCTATAAATACAAAAAAACTCACACCAAAGACTAACCTACGGCGTATTTTGATCGCCGTTACCAACGACTCTAAATAAATTAAAAAAAATAAAAACAGTTTTAAAAAATAAAACAGCTGTAAAAAATAAAAAGTTTTATGTCTACCGAGGTTCGATCCACCGTCCGCAAAAAAGTTAAAACCAATGCAATCAAAACTCAGTTGCGGCGGACGTTTTTACCATTGTGATCCTCTTCTCAACCTTTAACACAGATCAAAGTATAATATCTATTCTTATCAGCTTAATATCGCTACCGCTATTTTTCAAAATTAATAGGAAAGTATAAATAAAACAATATCCGATTTAGCATTGGCAACGTTGCTTTAAAAGTTAAACGAAAATAATACAACCAGTAAAACACATTCTCTCCCATCTGTCATAATTATCGCACACATTGAAAACTTATCGTAAATTTAACCTAAAAATAATAATTTTAAGTATCAATAGTGAAGTGATCTCAAACATTTAGCCGACGATCCGTACTTAAAACGTTAAAATATTAATTGTAGAACATATTAATATCAAATTTACATCAATAACTTCAAGATTGGCAATATACCTAAAGTGGACCAGACCCTTTTGCCGCTTTTTAAAGATAAAACACATTCATCCAACAATTTTTATGCTTAAAAATATTCAGTTTAAGATAATCTTGCAAAAAAATCCCAAAAAAGTGTTAAATGCGTGGGGACCTATTGTGCACCAGAGCCCCGATCATTTATGAAATTCACTTAAATTAACTAAATTATATATTTTTCTTGCATTTTAGCTTTTATTTATTACTTTTCAAAGATTAGATGTCAAAGAATTTAGATACGTTAATTTGAGTTACCTGCTTCAGTAGCGTATCGGATGTTTGTGTTAATAAATACTTATTATAACTTATCTATTTTTATTAGAATTATATATTTTTATAACAATTTTAATAACTACCAACATTTATTCACAACGTAAAATAAAACAACAAATTATTGAGTCTACCCCACGTCTACCCTACATCATAGTTTTACATTTTTTAAATAAAATTAGAACGACACTGATAAACCGGAATTTAAGTCGGCCATATTTGAGGCCCATCGCGGTGTACCTAAGATTTTTGATATGCTCCTTCCTTAGTCTTCTTATTCAAAGACCAAGGCGAATGAGGTGCGCCACCCTGTATTAGAATATTTGGTATATCAATTTTTATATCATGTTAAAAAAGTACTATATATAAAATTCCTAGGTAATGGTACCTTTTAGGTATATCGTCAATCTTGAAGTTATTGATGTAAATTTGATAGTATTAATATGTTCTACAATTAATGTTTTAACGTTTTAAGTACGGATATTCGGCTAAATGTTTGAGGTCACTTTATAACAAAATTATCATATACATATCAAATATATACACATTATCGCCTATCCCTGCATTGTGCTGGAGTTGAAGCCGAGTTAGAGACAGCTAGATAACCGGTCCATGTATATTTCACATAAGTTCGTCTGGTAGGCAGATATTTGCGCAACAGCGCAACTCCAAAATTCCGAATATCGATTAGCCGTGGATTAGCCAGTTGTCGAACGGGAGCGCAAATGAAAGCCGTACTCTTCGTACAAAGTTGGACGGAGCCTTACAAATGAACAGTTGGTGCTAGCGTCTAGTCTCTTATTGGTCTAGTTATCCGATCGATAACTCAAAATCCAGGCTTTCGCACTACGCTTGAGCTAACTGAGCGGCTTATGCAAATTCCTTCAGAAGATTTACAGCGCTTTCAGATGGAGCGGAGCGTCCGCTACGGATCGTCCGTCGTGTTTTTTTCAAGATAGCCGTCGGACGAACTCCGTCGGACGGAGCATACGCGACCATGTGAAATTGTTCATATAAGCTAATGGTACTTGCTCGAAGGCGCGGACGCTCCGTGGCGGACGGTCCACTCCATCTGAAAGCGCTGTTATATACCCATTTCACCGGCTTGGCTTCACAGAATGCAGTTTGGAGTCAATATGGTTACTTTATAAATATATAAAAATTATGTATTTTTTGACCAAATTTGAAGTTAGAATACAGCTTTCTCTATTAAGTTTAATAAGAGTGACAAAGAAGACCCAGAATTAGTTTATTTGTCTTTTGCGCGTCTGCGCATAGCGCTTGCGGTAACAGTGAAATATTAGCTTTGTTCGCGGGTCCGATTCCGAACCTGTTCAGGGACTATTCGCATGCGCACTTTAAAATGTTGCGTTCGCGGATAAATAAATTCTGAATTAATAATAACAGTTCTGAGTTCTGCGTTCGCGGATCTCATCGAATCGGTTCATTATTGGTTCGGAATCGGTCCTAGCGGTCCTCCGATTTTTGTTAGGACTAAAAATTCGATTCTGCTAATCATGCGCCTTACGCTGACATCGATCGGATCGTCGTCAGCTGTTTGATGTTTTTATTATTTATGTTGTGTCATTTCCATAATTTGTCAATTGGCTATTTTGTTGTTTTGCTTGGATTTTGTTACCCACCTAGGTACATACTTAATTACATAAACAATTAACTTACCGTTTGTTTCGTCCCAATAACAAATAAAAAACAAGTCTTTTTAGCAATTATCACAAACATCAAGTGTTGGTCAAGGGCCCCTTGCAACAATGACAAAAGAAATATTGAAAAATAACGAATTATGACAAATTAACCTTACGTTTTTGGTTCATAACTAGGCATGCGCTTTACAAAAATCCAAAATTATTAAAAAGAACTGGTGAGGAATCGGTTCAGAATCGGACCCGCGAACAAAGCTATTGAAAATCGGGATTTTGTTTTATTTATATTCTTATTAATTTTGAAAAATAGCGGTAGCGATATTAAGTTGATAAGAATAGATATTGTATTTTGATCTGTGTTAAAGGTTGAGAAGAGGATCACAATGCTAAAACCGTTGGCCGTAACCTAGTTTTGATTGCTTTTGTTTCAACATTTTTTGGGGGTTTCGTTTTTGCTGTTATTTATGGACGATCCGCACTTTTTTCGTTAGAAAATGTCATTATAAGTGTTCCTCTTCTCAATTCTGTATAGAAGATTTTAAAAGTTTGATGTACCTAAAAGGTACCAGGCCCAATTCTTAATTAATCCTGAGCATATTTCTCTAATATTTTAGTTCTAACAAAAATACCTACACCACCTATCTTTGGCAAGAATATAAAAGTGAACCAGCATTTTTCCGATGAGTTTGAAAATGATAAATTTATGCAGTATTCTCAAAGAAGTAAAGAATCTAAAAAGAGAGTATCAAAGAGTAGAAGCAGATCAAAATCTCATAACCGTAAACATGGCAGCAGAAGTAGGTCAAAATCTATTACCCATATACGTAGAAGCAGAAGTAGAAGTAGCAGTACTGAAAATATTAGAAAAAGGCGACATAGAAGTTATAGTAGCGATGGGAAGCGAAGTGTAGAAAGAATGTTGGAAAGATTTCACCGTTCGAGACGTTCTAGATCATCGGATGGTAAGAAATCAATGCCGGATAGAAGTATTGAATATATTAGAAAAAGGCAACATAAAAGTAGTAGTCGTGACCGAAACCGAAGTTTGGAAAGGAGAGAATCAAGGCGTGCTAGATATGATGAGTATATTGGAAACATGCGACATAGAGATAGTAGTTGTGACCGAAACCGAAGTTTGGAAAGTAGAGAATCAATGGAAAGGAGAGAATCAAGACGTGCTAGATATGATGAATATATTGGAAACATGCGACATCGTGATAGTAGTCGTGATCGAAGACGAAGTTTAGAAAGACGAGAATGTTGTCGTTCAAGTCATTCTAGGTCTCCTCCTCGCAGAAATGTAGAACACAAGGTTGATTGTCTATTGTATAGACATAAGTCAAGTAGTTCTGAGAGAGATCCTTCTCCTTTAAGACCAGGAGAATATAGGCCAAGCCATCCCGATAAAACATTAAGGTATAAAGCCTTGATTGAGGCTTCTCAAGGTGCAAGGTAACAGCTTGCAGTAATATTGTTTCAAGTAATTTCAAAATTAATTTTTATTTTAGAACTACTACTTTTACCACTACGTCCCTCAGTAGAGATCGATCAGGTATTACTTATTATACAATTCATCAATCAGTAATATATTTTTTATGATTTTTAGGTAAATCAGGCAGAGAAAAACAAGAAGTGAAAGCCAAGTTCATACCAAGAAGTGAAAGGTATGTGACCAAAAATAGTAATTGTACATTTTTCTTTCTGTCTTCTGTATTATCTGAAATACTATTTTATCGTTGGGGTGAGACTTGAAAATGGCTGAATGAATTTGGCCAGAAATGTTTGTAATAGTCCAAATTACATTTCATTTATATTTAAAAAAAAATGGAAAATGTCTCAAAAACCTGAAAGATTTTAGAAAGACAAAGAACACACTTTAATGAGTTTTTTGAATGAATTTAAGACTATAATTTAATTTTCGAATAATGTGTACAGGGTGCGACAAATTCGGGGTACAAGCATTGGTATCTCGGAAACCGTAATAGATACGATACGAAGATGGTTAAATTGGGGCAAAGTTGCGCCTTGGTATGTTCGCCAACATGCTATCAAAAAAGTTTCAAAAATTTCAAGGATACTCAGTAATCCTTGAAATTTTTGAAGAAAAAAAAAATAAATAAAAAATAAAAATGCAATACGGCATTTTATTGAGCATCAAATTGCTCAACTTTGCCTCCATTTAACCGATCCTGTCTCTTACGGTTTCCGAAATCCCAATGATGAGCGTCCAATTCGAGCCGCCCTGTACATTCTATCATAAAACTTTTTGATCATATTGTAATATTATATTATTTGGCTCAAGTACCGTCCCATTGCCGTGCTAAGTATGGTTTATAAACTGCTAGAGAGAGTGCTACTCAACAGAATCAGTCAAAGCCTTTTAGAACAGCATTCCCATTGAACAAGCAGGCTTGCCCACATCGTAGCTGCACAGATCGAGTTTTGTCATTGACAACATTTATAGAGGCCGGATTTCAAAAGAAACACGTAGTCGCTGCCGCATTTATAGACCTGACAGCAGCATATAACACCGTTTGGAGACAGGGCCTAATATACAGGGTGGGCCGAACTGTATTCCGAAAACTTCTGCAGTTTCTGCAGACAAAAATAAGTAAAAGAGTTCGTATAAATGTATGTCCTAAAGTGCTTAGTTTCGGAGATATAGGGTGTAGAAGTTTCATTTTTTTATTTTGATTTTTTCCAAATAATTTCTGAAGTAACGTCAATATTTGGATGAAAGTTGGTATCTGGGAGTATTTTGACATGAGAAATTTGATTTTGATGTCAATATTACTCCTATTTGTAGGGGCGCAAAGTGTTTTAACTCTTTTGAAGAGTAATAACTTTTCGTCCGTACCTGTATAAAACCACTGAGTGAAACAATATATATTTCCGTGATTTTTACGTAAATAATGTCTCATGGTAAAAATCGCTACAAGCAACCGTTCTCAGGATATTTAGAATCAAAATAGTCAATACATGTCTTGATTGACAAAAAATAAACATGTTGAGTAGATTTTTTGATTGAAATGATAAATTTGGAAATTTTTCATTTTTTTTAATTAATATTTTTTTTTTCGAAAAAATGATAAAACAATTTCTAGGACATACATTTATATGAACTTTTTTAATAATAATAGCTCCCGTATATAGCGTTTAACGCCTTGGGAGTAGGCAAGCTATAGCTTGCCATGCTAGAGCCGTTTGGTATACAGGGAAGGTAATGTGACTGGCATTATGTTTCAACCGCCTATTATTACCTCAGGATTGTGAATCCCAAGTACTCATTTAAGGCTGAGTCGATCTAGGTACCCAAACTATTTTTATTTTATTAAAAATAGTCGGCCGATGAAATGCCGGGTGTGGGATTCGGACCCACTACCTTCGGATTGGTAAACGAGAGCTGTACTTCTACGCCACCGGAAACTTTTACTTATTTTTATCTGCAGAATATGCAGCCGAAGTTTCCGGAATACAGTTCGGACCACCTGTATAAACTGACTCGCGTCAGGTGTCATGTATAAGAATATCCAACCTCATTGACAATGTGCTGTCAAATGAACATTCCAGGGGAATGGGGAATAACAGGAGCAAAACAGTGAAACTGAATGATGGTCTTCCTCAGGGGTCGGTCTTGCCCATATATACTTTCCAGTCTGTACATCGTGGACATGCCTGCAACTGAATCACGAAAATTCGGTTATGCAGACGACTGGACCTTGGCAACGGGACACAGGAGTGTGGAGGATGCTGAGGTTGTACTTACCAGAGACATAGCATAGCGACTATTTAAAAAAAATGGATTATTTTAAAAAATGACTTCAGCCAAGGCAAGAGTGCAAAGAGAGAATTGCGAGTGTACATGGACAACAAACTACTCACTCACAATAAACATCCAAAATATCTCGGAGTTACTCTGGACGGGACGCGTACATTTAAAGAACACTTGACAAGAATGACGGCAGTTGAGAACACGTAACTACATACTTTAAAAATTATGTGGCACAACTTGGGGCTCATCAGCATCCACCCGAGATCCTCTGCGCTGGGCTTGGTGTATCCTATGGCGGAATACTGTGCTCCAGTTTGGCTCAATAGCAAACACACCCGTATGGTCGATACTCAATTAAACCAAACTATGCGCGCTATATGAGGGACAATTCGACCAACACATACAATATGGCTGTCAACTCTTAGCAACATACTCCTCCCAATTGCCGCCGAGAACATGCCTTGGTCAACATTGGTTTAATAAAATACTGAATAACCCTCAGCTGTCTATGATGACGTTCCACACTTCCAGGGAAATCGACTACGATCAAGATACCCTCCATTGAAGACTGCGCATGAGCTGCACCAAAATAATTTTGATATTAAGCGATGGAGAGAGAAATGAGAAAATGCAGCGGCTCCAATGTACCGTGGTCTACCGTACGTTATTAATAAACCTGCAGGACATTTACAGGACATCTGCAGGACAGGTTATTAATAAACCTTCCCCGTCAAACATGAACAACTCTTAACCGCATCAAAACTAACTGCAGAAGATCTAGACTCTCTAAATAGGTAGGGAAAAGTCCCTTCAGCGACTGTGGAGCTGATACCATTCTTTGTCCTGTAACTTAAAATACTGTGATGTAAGCCATACGCTAAATAATTAAAAAAATAAATTGGCTCAAGTTTCGTCTACTTGAAATCAGTTATGTAAGAAATATTTGTTTATTTAGTATTTGGAAGCCTTTTCGAATAGTATGTCTCATAAAAAAAATTCTGCGGAAATGCATTCTTTTCGAGTTTTTCAACTTTATAATTGCTGAAATCAGGGCTAGTTTAGTTTAGCTGAAATCAGTTATGTAAGAAATATTTGTCCATTTAGTACTAAATAAACAAAGAAATTGAAAAGTACTTGGCAATTGAAATTCGTAAACAGACGCATTTTAGTTTACAGCGTGTTTTGATTACTTTGGTTAGGTTTGTTTTGGTTTGTTGGTTCATCTTTTTTCTCGGTACGTTATTGATGTCTAATATACAGTATCTACTAAGTTAAGTTCATACCTACACAAGAAAAGTGTTTAGAATGTAAGTGTGGAAACACAGTGCAAGCAGGTTTTCCGGTTACCGCTTACCGGTAGTCGGCGCCGATCTGAGCCGTTTTATCGCGCCGGGATAATTCACACTGAACACTGAATACCAAACGAGAAAAAGCGAGAAAAAAGGTTCAAAGAGCCAGTTATGTTCTCGCAAATATGTCGTCTTCACATGATGATCTGATCGCTTTGAATTCTGTTTTTACAAAATTAAAGAGAAAATGAGTTGACATTCCCTTAATATTGGGGGAATAACTTATGGGGAGTATTATCATATATTTTAAAAATTAAAAAATGACAATGAAAGATTTTTTCAATACATACGAATGACTCAAAATACTTTTAAATATATTTTTGAAAAAGTGGAATATAGATTAATCAAAAATTGATGCAATCTACATAAGCAACCTATTCTTCTGGAAGAGAGGCTTTTTATTACTTTGAGGTTGTCCCAAATAGGTGTATTTTTCAAATACTGTCGCTATAAGTAAATCCTTATGCATATTCAAACGCCGTCGGCGCGTGCAAAAGCAGAAATTAAGTTTTCGTTCCGGTAAAAGCGAGAACGCCGATGAACGCTGGTTGACGGCGCCTACCTGCTTTAACCACCTTTAACTGAACTAAACGATTTGACAACACGCAACACGCTTTAATTTTTCAAACTTATGCGGAAACCTACCTCCACTATGTACCCTAAAGCAGGAACACGTTTTCATGTAACTGATTTCAGTTATTCTAAAGTCGGAAAAAAGAGAATGATGCATTTTCGCGGAGAAATTTTTATGATTTTGTGTTTGGGGAGGCTTCTGTATATTGGATATTTTTTATAAGTGATTTGAAGTAAAAAAAAATCACCCTATTATTTTTTAAGGATAATTAATATACAACTTTACCTTAAAATGAATTAGAATTTATTATGGTTTATATACACTTCCAGAAAAAGAAGCAGAGGCCGGTCTCGTTCTCCAGTCCGTAGAGATCAAAGGAGTCGCAGCAAGTCACCAAGGAGACCGCCCCAGGGACCAGCTTTAAATATGGAATATTTTCAAGTAAGATGTGTCTGTTTTATCACATATTGAAAGTACAAAATATACATATACATTTTAAACAATTAGGGAGGATGGGTTCCTGGTCCATTGTATGGGATGCCAGTGCCTAGATTTCAAATTCCAGCTGGCTTTTATCCAAGAGGAATTCCTCCTGGGTCATTTATGCGACCACCTGGTCCAAGAGGAATGTTCGCTCCAAGAATGGAAATGTCCTTAGGCTTTAATCCTTATTTTCGCGCCCCTCGATTCACATATACAAATTCTACGAGACCGAATTCATTGGCAAGTTCAAAAGAAAAAAATGAAAATGATGAAATGAAAATGAAGGAAGAAAATAAAGAAACCATAAAAATTGTACAATTAGATGATTAAAATCTGTAAAATACTTCTGGTTGTAAAATACAAAATAAATGTATTACAAATTATTTTATTTCAAAAGCAAATTAAAAATATGACATTCATTGACAAAAAATAAATATAGTATGGATCAAATTATTTTGTTATTTAAATACAACTGTATCGAGCATTGCACCTAAACACTGTACAATATTATTAGTCATAAGAACGTCCACTTTTTCCTCCAAATGCCTTTTTGGGTCCTGTTTTCCAACATTCTTAATGGCGAGTTGTTCAGGGGTCATTTTTTCCTCTTCTTCAAGAGCTGAAAAATGAAACATACTATTATAAGTAAATTAATTAAACCTATGCTTGTTATACCTTTATTATAATTCTTTGCTAATTCTAACATATCAGCAACAGTTTTCTCATTAGTAGTGCAATTTTCTGAATAATCTGCCAAAGTTAAACCGTCCATCCAGGATTTCTTATGTAAATTAAGAAGCATCTTTTGTTCAAGTTCATTTTTTCTATAATTTATACTGATTGAATAGTAATGTCTATTTAATCCATGGATTAAAGCTTGCACTGAAGGTTTCTGTAAATGTCCCAAATTTGAGGTTGTTTGTCTAGGCTCTTGACCAAGAACCATCATATTTGGATTAATTAATCTAAATGCATCAATAACAACTTTTCCTTTAACTGATTGTATAGGATCTACAACTACAGCAACGGCTCTCTCTGACAAAGCCTCAAATGATTGCTGTGTATTAATGTCAACACCTGAAAGCCAGCATCCAAACCCGGGGTGAGAATGATACCATCCTACCACCATCTCTGGCCGGCCTGTTTGCCTTAACATGTCTAACATTTTTGCTTGAAATACAGGGTCGACAGCCTCTACACTCACTCCAGTACCAGTCTGAGGCATAGCAAAAACATCTATTACACGCACCGTGTAATCATCAACAAACTCTCCTAAATAATTATATTATTTAACTAGTATTCTTGATATAATTTATACCTTACCCAACATAAGACCCATAACTTCCATTGGGACTCCTGCTCTACCATGTTTTAACATTTTTAGAAGAGCTAAAGATGAAATATAAACCTGCTCTGCTGTATCTACAACCGGAGCGTCGCTTGGTGGTGGGGCCTGACTTAAACCAGGCATTCCACCTCCTAATCTCAGTAGTCTATCCATCACTATATTAGTTTTTCTTAATTAAACTTTGAAAATAATGAAGTTTTTTATGTACCTCACAAAACGAGAATAAACTCAAATTTCAGATTCCTTTTGTTTAAAGAACAACTTGCAAATCATGACGTTGACAGAGACCACAGATAACAGAACTACAGAGTACAGAGACAGAGACCATAGGCACATAGGGTGCCATAGGGTGCATCCACACCAGGGTTCGGGAAACTACATGTTACTTTTAAAAACTACATAAACTACGTTACATGTAGTTAATGTAGTTTATGTAGAGGGTGTAGTTTATGTAACCTATGTATTTAACTTTCACATATCAAAGGTTTGAGGTGAGGTTATAATAAGTTGAAGCTTTAAAAACACATAATGTAATTAAGAAAACAGAAGAAATATAGCTTTAAATAGGTAATGGTGTGGATCCGGTGGCTGACCTTGAAACGAGTTTTTGCTGCATATAGTCACAGACACTACGCATGCGCATATCTTCGATGTTGCCAGATTGCGAGTTATTTTGGAATTATTTTCAGTAGAAAACAAATATGTGCTTTTCAGTGTTTTTTTGTCAATATATGTATACCGAATGATCGAAAAAACGGCGTCCAGTTGCCTGGGAAATGACGATTGAGAACATTTCCCATAAAATGACAGCGATCTTCATTTCATAGTCATCGCTGACGCTATTTTTTTCAATCATAGCACGCGGTATATTATTTATATTATTATTTTAATTATTTCGCACAACACGTGAAACGTGAACGCTTATTATGTATTTTCATAGTCAATAAAATTAAATAGAAATAAAACTCTAGATTCCTATAATTAATCTAATTGCTCTAGATTATTATGCTTGCTTTATTAAAAATTCGGGAAATTAAAAGGGATGTGTCCAAGTTTTTTATTTTTTTTTTTTATTTTTAAATGCTGCAAACTGTAGCTCCATGTCATGTTCATAATAGGTTTTTTTTAACATTCCATCAAAACTACGGAGGCCTTAAAAGGCCTTTTGGCCTCCGTAATTAAAATTGTAGAATCAGCTTCAGCAACATTTACAGTTACCTTGTTTAATTCTACTTATACACATATTGCATTAATTTTTCTGCTACGTTAAGATTTCTCTATTCTTACACCTAATTTATGTGATTTTCTTAGCATATATGATTTATAAACCATATTTTTCCTAATGTGATTTCCTAATTCCTAATGTGATATGTGATTTTCTTTTTTCTTAGCATAATATGATTTGGTTTGGTTGCAGTAATAAATAAGTTTTACTGTAATTTGGTGCAAATTACAGTAAATTAAAAAAAGAATATAAGTAATGTATATTCTACGACACAAACCATCTCCCTTCTAACGAGAAAAAGATAAAACATAAAGCTTATTTTAATCTTATCAACACACTCTTCGAAAAATTGCTATTAATCCACTAACTTGATATTTTTAAGAAATTATGATACAAACATTATAATCAAAGTATATTATATTAGAACATTATAGGTAAAATATTACTTTCTAGCTCCATTGATCGGTTGCTTTATAAGACTGTCATGGTAGTATTTCAAACATATCATCACATATAATCAAAACTATTAGCTGCCTGTAAATAACTAGAAATTAAATAACTTGAAAGAAATAAAATAATTCTAATAAGTTTAAAACCATTAAGAAAAAATCCGTGCATGATAATTTAACTTGATAAATATATAAATAAATGTTATATTATTACAATTTATATATTCATAATACTTTCATTTCACAATCTTCACATCCTTCTTTACCTTAATTTTGGATATCAAGATAAATCTGAAATTATAAAATTAATTATAGAATTTGTATTATTATTGATTAACACTCAAAAAGAAAATTTTCAACTGCAAATAATTCGAAAATAAACTGCAATTTGGCAACATCGTCGATGTGCGCTTGCGTAGTATCGATGATCAAATGCAGCAAATATGGGCTTCAAGGTCAGCCACCGGATCCACACCTTTACCCTTTAAATATAATATTTACATCATATTATCTCTATTACACTTCATACAAAGGAAAATTATTATTATTTATGGTAAAGGTGTGGATCCGGTGGCTGACCTTGAAGGCCATATTTGCTGCATTTGATCATCGATACTACACAGGCGCACATCGTCGATGTTGCCAATTTGCAGTTTATTTTCGAATTATTTGCAGTTGAAAATTTTCTTTTTCAGTGTTAATAATAATACAAATTCTATAATTAATTTTATAATTTCAGATTTATCTTGATATCCAAAATTAAGGTAAGAAGGATAATGAAGATTGTGAAATGAAAGTATTATGAATATATAAAATTGTACGTAATAATAACAGAGATATGGAAGTGGTTGAATAATAATAACATTTATTTATATATTTACATTAGAATTAAAAATTATCATTTACGGATTTTTTCTAATGGTTTTAAACTTATTAGAATTATTTTATTTCTTTCAAGTTATTTAATTTCTAGTTATTTACAGGCAACAATAGTTTTCATTATATTATGTATATTGATGTTTTGAAATATTACCATGACGAGTCTTATAGAACAATACACGTCAATGGGAGATAGAGGTAACATATTTTACCTATAATGTTACTAATATAATATACTTTGATTGTAATGTTTGTATCATATAATTTCTTAAAAATATCAAGTTAGTGGATTAATAGCAATTTTAGACATATATTTTATCGAAGAGTGTTGATAAGACTAAAATAAGCTTTATGTTTTATCTTTTTCTCTTTAGAAGGGAGATGGTTTGTATCGTAGAATACATTACAGTATTTAATATCGTGTACTTTGATATTCTTTTCTTAATTTACTGCAATTTCTTGTTTCCTATAATGCCAAATCTTGACAATATGGTGAAGGTTGAGTTTTGATCTTATTAGTTTTATACCTGTGTTTATACAAGACCAAATTAAGACTTAGTTTGTGATTTATATTAAGATCTTTCTTATAATATTTATTATGTCTTAATCTTATGCTTTGTCTGGAAAATAAATGTTAAAATATCTTAATTTTGCATATCCTATTCCATCCTTCCATTAGGAAAAATATGGTTTATAAATCATATTATAGCTAAGAAAATCACATAAATTAGGTGTAAGAATAGAGAAATCTTAAAGTAGCAGAAAAATTAATGCAATATATGTATAAGCAGAATTACACAAGGTAAAACTGTTAATGTTGCTGAAGCTGATTCTACAATTTTAATTACGGAGGCTAAAAGGCCTTTTAAGGCCTCCGTAGTTTTGATGGAATGTTAAAAAAACCTATTATGAACATGACATGGAGCTACAGCATTTAAAAATTAAAAAAAAAGGAAAACTTGGACATATAATTTCCAGAATTTTTAATAAAGCCCTTTTTAAACGTAGCATAATAATCTAGAGCAATTAGATTAATTATAGGAATCTAGAGTTTCATTTCTATTTATATTGACTATGAAAATACATAATGCTGTCTACGTGTTGTGCGAAATATTAAAATAATATAACTTTTGATATAAATAATATGTCGCGTACTATGATTGAAAAAATTAGCTGATGACTAGTGAAAATGAAGATCGCTGTCATTTTACACCGTCATTTCAGCCAACTGGATGTTTTTCGATCATACGGTATATATTGACAAAAAACACTGAAAAGCACATATTTGTTTTCTACTGAAAATAATTCCAAAATAACTTACAATCTGGCAACATCGAAGATGTGCGCATGCGTAGTGTCTGTGACTATATGCAGCAGAAACTCGTTTCAAGGTCAGCCACCGGATCCACACCATTACCTTATTTATTAGTAAAAAATTATTAGTAGAAAATTAGTAATTTTCTAAAATTATTAGTTAATCAGGTAAATTACGTCTTAATCCTTGGTCTTAATTAACTACTTCCGAACCCTGGTTGCAAGGATGGTAGTCAACAGTAGTTTTAATTTTAATCAGTAGATGAAGGTTTTTTACGCTTTCTTAAAACTAAAAATAAAAACAGTCCGCAAAAAATATTTTTTTTTATATAAAAACTATGATAAAAACCAAGGATAAAAACCTAGAAACTGTAAAATAAACTAATTAATCTTTGGATTTTGGATAACTACTACTTATGACTACTACTAAATCAACAGGCCGGATAGTCCTGTCAGCTTAGGTCTTTTGACCTTTAAATTAATAAAAAAAATAAAAATTTATCTGTGATTATTATATCTACGATTATTATTTATCACCTTATACGTCTTTGCCTTATACCATAAAGTAACTAAAATAAAAGAGTGTTTGAAAGGTTGTCTAACTTGGCCATAATGTTGCATAGTTCAGTTAGGGCTCCAAAGCGTCGCCACCTGCTACCTGTCACGTGTCATAGCAAGATTGACAAGTGACATGACAGCAAATTATTTGTATTTGCAATTGTTTACCATCATTTTACAATTGTTTTGAATTTTGGAATTTTGTTATAATTTGTGTAGCATATACGGCATATACTTTGTTTGTTTGTTTTGTGTTTGTGCGTACAGAAATTATGGAGGAAGTTTTATTTCCCGAGGAACCAGAGACCTTATATTTCTCTATGATTGGAACTTTATGTTTTGTGCTATGTGTTTTGCCGTCATCATGTAATATTCTGTTCAGCCGATGATGTGATTTGAACACGATCCAGGAAAGGGTATCATGCAAAGCAAGTTATAATATGTAAAGACATTGCCCATCTCTGAACTCCGTGAACGTAAAACGAACTGACTATAAATTCGCGCCTTCATTTCACAGTGTTGAACATTTGCTACCTCAACTGAACTTCAACTGCTAAGATTATAAATCCAACTTAAAGGTGAATTAATTTTTGATGATGTCTTATTTAAATCTTAATCTGTTATAATAGCATAGATTGCAAACCCCTGTGATCTTATATGCTTTGTTAGTGGCGTTGTTAAATACGTTTTATAATACTATAGGTTAATCGAGGGGTAAACCGCTGGTGTATTTTGGTGTACAAGATGTTGGCATTTTTAGTATTTTCGTGGTATTATTGGTATTAGTACTAAATTATTTGGCATTAGTGTACAGAGATTCATCAGCGGTTTACCCCTCGAGGTTAATTCAGCATATATGTTTTATATTATCAAATTTAATTTAGCATTTAACTGTAAGTCTTTGAAAAGTGTACAATAGTTAATACTTTTCAAATATTCCGTTTTTAAAAATAAATTTTTATTATATTTTTTGCAGTTTTAATTTCGTAATATTTTTAAAAATACATAAAATTTTATATTCACATTTAAACTGCCCGCCTTTTTTGTGGTAGACAATGCAGATACCTATTTTACCGATTACGTCTGTCATAATTCGATTAGTTCAGTTAGGGCTCAAGGGTGCGCTACAATCGATCCTCGTTAAACGTGTTGCCTACTTTTGACTATGGAAATGACTACTCTTTTATTTTATATTTCTCTATGCCTTATACCTTATCACAGTTATTTATATTTTAATTGTATTTTATGGTACACCGTTTAAGGGTGGTGAAGTAGAGTATTTTAATCATAGAATTAATGATTTTAATAATTTGAAGGTCCATATTAGTTTTCAAAATGCCTTGGATAGGAGAGAGTTCTCTAACAGTATTTCAAAAGTTTTGTTTAAATATATTAAAATGCGGTCCTATGCCACGACACATAGCCTTTATAATGGATGGAAACCGTAGATATGCGAAGAAGAAACATGTTGAACAATCAAAGGGGCATTCAAAAGGTTTCGATAAGTTGGCAGATTGTCTGAGATGGTGTTTAGAACTTGGTATTAAAGAAGCAACCGTTTATGCATTTAGTATTGAAAACTTTAAAAGAAGTAAACAGGAAGTTGATACTCTCATGGAACTAGCTAGAGACAAATTTGAAAAGCTATTTGAAGAAGAGGAAGAGATAATGAAAAATGGAATTTGTATAAGAGTGATAGGTAATTTATCATTATTACCTACCGATATTCGAAAATTAATAGCTAAAGCCATGATTTTAACACAAAATAATCAAAATGCAATATTAAATGTTGCTTTTGCTTATACCTCAAGAGATGAAATTACACATAGTGTCAAAACAATTGTTAAAGCCATAAATGATGAAAAAATTCAAAGGGATGATATCAGTGAAGATCTTATTTCGCAATGTTTATTTACGAGTTTAAGTCCTAACCCAGACCTATTGATTAGAACATCCGGAGAAGTAAGATTAAGTGATTTTTTATTGTGGCAAGTTTCAAATACACAAATTTATTTTACTGAGGTTTTGTGGCCTGAATTTTCTATTTGGCATTTGTTTGCTTGTATTTTTAAATATCAAAGAAATTTTAGTGGCAATATATATGGTAAACAGAGTTGGATAAAAAACAATGGTAATCCAAGGGTTGATTCGTTCTTTAATGAACTTCAAAACTTAAGAATGAGACAGTTGGAGATTTATGCTCAAGGTTAATATAGATATTGTACCTAATAGTTAAAAAACATTCCAAAGAAGTTATATGTGCTTATAAATAAATATTTATATTTATTACCGAATTTTTATTAATTTATGCTACAATAAAATAAGTAAAAACCAAAAAGACTAACAACTAATATATATTTATATTTTCTTTCTAAAATGATAACAATTTTATATTTTTTAGTTATACAAATAAAACAAAATTAATATATCTACAATTCCTGCCAAAAAGTTCCATACAAAGGAATGTAAGTTACGTATGAAAGTAACCATAACATGAATTATTTTAAGAGACGAAATTTAAGCATCAGTTACTTCATACATATACACTATGCCAACCAAGTAACTGTTGAATCATTAGACATGGTGTTTTTTAAATACCTAAAGATATAAATGGAAATACTGCTTAGCATTATTATTTAAAAAAGAACAAATCTGGCAAGAAATTACGCTTTGCCCGCTACAGGAGCGGCACCTTTTGTTACTGCCTTGTCAGCCCCTGCTTCTTGTTCCAACTGACGGCCAAGATACTCCCAATTATGAACCATCAATTTCTGAACTGCCAACAGCGCTTCGTAACGTACGTTAGGATCTTCATGAGCAAGTAGTTGCATCACCAATTGTTTACCACCCAACTGTTCTATAACACTAGAAAAAATGCATATTCATTATTAAAGTTGCAAAAATTTGACAGTAAGAGAATTTGTGAGAGTAAGAAAAGTGTGTGACAGTAAGAAAAGTGCCACCAACTTTTCTTAACCCTCAACTGGCGTGGTGAATTTTTGTAACGTTTATGGCGTGGTGGGGTCCCCAATTTTTTTTTCAGTTTAAGATACATGATGAAGAGATTTTATAAAAAGCTTGTTATTTTAACACTGTTTACAATATATTCAAACTTGTGAATAAACAATTTCATTAATTTTCAACCAATTAATAAGAACGGACACAAAAATAAAGAAAAACGCATTTTTTAGGAATTTTTGATAACAAAAATATAACTTGGCTAAGAAACCCATAGAAATTAAAAACATATATATTTTATGATTTTACCGTATTATTAAAAGTACAAATAACTGAAATGTGAAGCTAAAGTAATAAACATAAATTATTTTCAACAAAACTGCAAACCTTCAATGTACATAACTTTTTCAAATACAGTTTATGCTAATATAGGATCTGCATTTGCCGCACATGGATCGTGCACATTTGATTCATGAGATTTTTGTTAAAAAATTTTATTTGATTTATAACGTTATAACTTATTATAACTCAAGAAAGGGGAACACACAATAGATCTGTAAGGTCGCGGTAATTAAGTTCCCTCCTAAATATTCTATACTCTACATTATAAGCCCGTAGTTACATTGGATGCGTGTCCATGTGTTTTTTGGTCGTACGTGCTCGGACGTGCACGCAGCAAAAAACAAACAAATGGTTTCTACGCAGGCGGTTACATTGCATCGGAGTTTGCGCGTCCGTGCACGTACGTCAATTTCCGTTGGTCGGATGAAAATAAACTGGTTTGTTTTTTTTAATACGTGCACGTCCGAGCGTTCGAATTTTTATATCTCTGCGCCCAATACATTCCCAAAAAATTTGAATATTTTTGAATACCAGGTTTATTTTTATTTAGGATATATTAATGTTGCTGGAAACACCCTAGAAAATATTCAAAAAAATTGAAGGGTTTGCTGTTTTAATTCACCAAATATTTTACATATTCATTTTCTTCCCCTTTTCTTGCATATAAATCAATTATCCAACATTTTCTTCTGTTTATAACTAGTTATTTTAACATTAAATCCTCAGACAGCATCAAAGTAGTGGCGTCCGACAAACTCGACACTATGCTCGACACACTGAACTCTATGAACGCGCATCTAATGTAACCATTAAAATAAAATAGTCGTGCGAGCAAATTCCGTCAGAGTTCGCACGTTTAAAAAAACGCACGGACCCGCGTCCAATGTAACCGCGGGCTAATGATATGCGAAACAACAGCTGAAGAGGAGTGAGAAGTGAGAAGTCTTTGCTCTAGCAGACGTTATTTTGACATTTACGTTTGTTTAATTTAGAGTTATGGCTCCACAAATTAGCATTGATTGAGATTTGAAGTCCGACAATCTGTAAACCCGATTTTCTACATCATCTAGTTTTTTAATTCTGTATTTTCGGTTAAGTAATTTGATACCTAGTTTTAGTTAAATTATACTAGTATACAAAAGAATAAGGAAGATCTTGAAAGGGCAATTCTGGATTCCCTCCCGGATTATTTAAAAAAAGTTAATCAGAAGACCGTGTTTATTTTTTTCTAAATCTTAAGTAAGGAAATTTAAATCTTAAATTAAAAAAACTGATTTAATGAATAATCATAACTGATTGAAATATTTAAGAGAAAAGTATATTTTAAGTTAACATTTATTTATATACCGCGTCGGCATTTCTGGCCTTGGGTGCCGATTTCCGATTGTGCGAAAAGAAAGTCAATACGCTCAGTACAATAAGATGTACTGAATAATGAAAGAAGAGCAAGTATTTTCCCAAGCGCATGAAATCTAGTGCCGGATTAATGCCCACTTGCACCGTTTGTATAAAATTTGTTTAAAGGCTAAACAGTGATTAACTATATAATATTTCATTACAGTTACTCACTGTTTAGCCTTTAAACAAAGTTTATACACACGGTGCAAGTGGGCATAACTGGTTATGTAATGAATACTTTGCATTTTTATCTCTCCGACTTACTAGATCGCCATTGCGATTCACTCCTAGACATGTAAACACCGACCCAAGACTTCGCTTGTCATTAAGGTATTTTATAAAATATAAATATACCAATTGACATCATAACGGCATGAGGCTAGTAAGAGCATAAACGATTATTATAATACTTTAACCGTCAAAGTTGTTAAAAAAAGCCTCCCTCCCCATATGGTTGCTTATTCTTGATTCTCGCTTTCAAACTCTTCATTAATTGTGGGTTCATACTTCGAGTATAGTCCTAACCTTACCCTTAACATTAACCCTAAGAAATTTATCTAAAGAACTTCAGAAAAAGCCTTTATATTTCTCCTACTTAAGACTATTCTAGCGCTCATAAGAAACATAATATGTTTGGAACTAATCTAACTTTGCAAATCCTTTTAGAATTTCGAATACTAGAGAGACTACTCGTAATTTATACAAATTAGTACATTAATAACATTTACTTGTTTATGAATAAACATTAATAATGTCTAGACCAAAATATAAATAATTAACATTTACGAGCCGTCAAATCAACATGTCAAATATTATTTCAAATGTTCTTAAAACCCCGAATTTTGAGCGTGGGCAAATTAATTTTGTATTAGCATTAGCTCTAAGAGTAATATAAAATATCCCATATTTTTAGAACCCGTTAGGACTTAGGACTAAGGCTAATGTTTAGATTCATGTGTTCCATGAACGCTAGCGTTTGTTAACCTGATTCATATTCTTGAGGTTGGTGCTAATGTTAGTGTTAGTTAGGGCTGAGACCGGAAGCATGAACCCCATATATTTATAAAGTAACCATATTATCTCCAAACTACATTCTGTGAAGCCAAGCCGGTGAAATGGGTATATAAATCCTCTGAAGGAATTTGCATAAGTCGCTCAGTTAGGCCTGCTCAAGCGTAGTGCGCAAGCCTGGATTTTGAGTTATCGATCGGATAACTAGACCAATAAGAGACTATACGCTAGCACCAGCTGTTCATTCGTACGGCTTCGTCCAACTTCGTACGTTTGCGCTCCCGTTCGACAATTGGCTAATCCTCTGAGTAAGGGCTCATTGATATTCGGAATTTTGGAGCTGCGCTATTGCGCCAGTGTCTGCCTAACAAACGAACTTATGTGAAATATACATGCACCGGTTATCTAGTTGTCTCTAACTCGGCTTCAACTCCAACAGATTGCAGGGATACGCGATAATCTGTTTTATATATTGAACCCACTATAAATAACTTTAAATTAATTCATCATACTTCACATTTTTAAAGCTTACAGTGTTCATATGGACAAGCATTCTCGAGAAAGTATCCTTCCTATACTAAGACAAATAAATATAAAAATTGACAATTGTTTTTTTTTAATTAATTATTAAGGTTTTTATTTTATAGACTTACTGTTTACCACGAGGATAGTGTCTGACATATTCTCCAATATCAAAACTAGCTACGCTAAGTACCAGTGGATCTTTGCTTGTTTCCAAAAGGTGAATGAGAATGCGCAAAAGTTCGTAGTTCTTTTCGTTGAGGCGCTGAGCATTCTCGCGCCAAAATTTGCTTTTATGTACAGGAGACCATTCTAAACGTCCTGATTTTACCTAGATTAAGCCAAAGTAGAATATGAACTTAAATAAAACAATTTAATAATACCTCAGTTGCATATTCATCAAATGAACTAAGGTCTTGAACAGACGAGTGTAATTTCTCTGACAGAAATTCTACGTCGGCAGTGATATCTTCATCGTCAAACTTTCTTTGCTCCAAAATTTGTAGTTGTTTAAGAACCTATTTCAAAATACGGAAATTAGCATTATTACCCGGATATTCCGTTTAGTTTTATTGCATACCTTACTCTGGACCATGGCAATACAATGCTCCTTGGCTACCTGTTGATCTTCCGGTTTCTCAATCAAATTTCTAAAAACACCTAGAATAATTCTAGTAACTTTTTCTTTTACGGAATCACTCAAGATATCAGCCAAAATGGGAATAACATTAAATTTGTTCATTTTTTCTGCTAGCAGGGGATTGAATGTCAGAACCCATAAGCAGAATATAAGCTGGTATTGGACCTAAATACATAAAAAAAATGTTTATGTTGTAGTAGCTATCTAATGTGAACAATTACATCTTCTACGTAATATAATTGCAGGAGAGCTATTTCAAAATGAAAATTCTCTATTCAACAAACACTTCGCAGACTCGCACAAACCCTATCCCAGTACTAAAAATTAAGTAAGCATTTTGAATGATACTAGTTAACGATAATATTGCAACTCGGCAACACTTGGTTTGTTAGATATAGGGAAATCAATAAAAGTTGGCTCGCACGTCATCAAAGTGTTTGACGAATGCACGTCACAATGTTGCCACAGCTACTTTTTTTACTTTGACTTTTGACAAGTGTCAAATAAAATTTGTAATTTTCTCACCGATTTTTTATTTCAATTTTAGGCGCAATACATATACAATTTTTTTGTATATAATCTACAATTATTATTACACAAACAAATTCTAATTAAATGAAGTTATTATCAAGTTTTCTGAATGAAAGCTGAAAAATGTAAAGTTCTAAATGGTTAACATTAGCCTTCACTTCTTATGAGATATCTATGTATTTTCATGGCATAAAAGCCGCAAAACAAGCAACAGTGTCAATTTTTACCTCCCTAACGCTATTTAACAGTAAAAGTAGCTCGGCATGATCTATCTCCTGTTAAAAATAATTGAATAGAGACGAGACAAGTTGCTGATTCCGACTATTTCGTTAATTTTGACATTTATTGCAATCATAGATAAATGCAACAAGTTTAGATTGGAAAGCCCGTAAAAATTTTAGGTCGCGAAATTATTTTGGGTCGCGACCGTTATACGCGATCTGGCGCTGCTATAGCGGTCGCTAAGAACAACGGCAAACAAAAACTGAAATAATTTTCTCTTGTCAAAGTCAGAATCTTCAAAAATCATAATCTTTCAAAATCCAAACCGCTCTCATTAAAGAAATTCCGAAAAGTGTTTATAGCGTCCATTTTCAAAGTAATAATTGCTATCTTGTTAGTTTAATTCAAGTTTTATTTACTCCAACCGGTGATAATTGTGAAAAAGTGGCATTAAAAACTTAAAAAGCTGTGCTGTGAACTGTGAACTGCACAGACCATCGTGGATCATGGCATAACGTCGGTTTCCAATGTTTCATAGGTATTTCATACATGCGTCCTTATATAAAATAAAGTTTCTTGTATGCAACACACTGTCTTTTATTTATAAAATTAAATGAAAATAATAATAAATTTGAATAAACAATATTTGGCGATATAATTCCGGAAAAAGCCGAACCGCTCCGAAATTTTCAAAAGTTTTGGGTCGCGACCGTTGCAAGAATAGCGCCAAATAGTGTTTACATTGTCCTTATGGCCACTTTCCAATCTAAACTTGTTTCATTTATCTATGATTGCAATGAACTGTCAGATTAGAAAAAAAAAATAAAATCAAAAATGACAAAAGATTTGCAAAGAAAAATTCTATTTGCTCAATCGGCAACATTTGCCATGATTATCAGTAAGCATTTTTTATCGACCAATTCGTTTACTTGATGCGACAGCGTGCCGTTTTTTAACCAGGATATAAGATTATAAGAAAAAGGGACAAAAACAATACCCAGAACAACAGAAATGAAAGTATTATAATACTCGGAGGCACACTAAGAGATAGAATGCCAAACCACGACATCAGAGAGGAACTGGGAAAACAAGACATAGTGAGGCTAGTGAGGTAGGATACATACATACATACATACCGCCATTACTCGCTGACGAGTATTTGACACGCCTCAGAAGATGGTCACGCAGCGCGTTTTCTTTCATGAGCTTTTCTGTGACTGAAAAGCCCGATACGTGATGTTATCTGTCTACCGCACTCCAGACATTCAAAAATATCATTGCTTTGTTGCCTCTTTACTTTTTGGTTGTCGCTCTTAACTGACTTTACAATTCTTCTCCATTCCGTTCTATTGTGAGCTGCCTCTTCCCACTCATTCTGCTTGTTAATTTCCTTTAAGTTTTCGTGGAAAATATCCTTGAACCTTTTGAGTTGTCCACCCGGCCTCCTCTTACCGTCTACAAGCTCACCGTAAAGCAGAGATTTTGGTATGCGGTTTTCTTGCATTTTGCATACTTGACCAGCCCATCTTAAGCGGGACTTTGTAATCATGACTTCAATACTTTCGCAGTTAGCTTTTTCAAGGACCGATACGTTTGAGACGTGATGGAACCATTTTATTCTTAAGAGTTGTCTAAGATGTCTCTGCTGCAACTTGTTTAATGCGTTCATGTGTCGGCGGTACGGCACCCAGGTTTCGCTTCCATATAACATGGTGGGAATTATTATCGCTCGGTACACCGCAAGTTTCGTTTTTGTGCTCAAGTCATGATTGTAGAAAACCCTGTCTTTTAATTTCCAGAATGCTCTTGAGGCGCTGCTAATCCTGTGCTGAATTTCAGAATCGATATTGGCCTTTTCCGAAATCAAACTGCCGAGGTAATTAAATTCCGCTACATATTCCAACAGTTCATCTCCGATTTTTATAGCATTGTTGTGATCTTCCGGGGGAGTGCACATGATTTTAGTTTTATTGATGTTCAGCTTAAGTCCCAAGGCCTCGTATGCCCATGTATATGTGTTCAACATTTCTTGCAAAGTTCTGTGATGAATTTTGTACGTGTTTTTGCCCTGAGTCTTTTTATGTTGAACAGACCGCCGTCGTATCTGTATCTAATGCCCAAACCTCTCTCCTGCAGTTTGCTGTCCACTATAATGGAGAGCGCTGCCATGAATATATTGAATAGGAGAGGCGCTAAGACACATCCCTGCCTAATGCCTATGTTTGTTAGGAAGGGATCGCTCAGTGATCCATGATATGACACTCTTGATTTGTTGTTGTTATGGAGGCTTTTACACACTGTAAGAAATTTGATGGGTACTCGAACTTTTCATAATTGCCCAAAGTGCATCTCTGTTCACAGAGTCGAAGGCTTTGTTAGATCGATGAATGCAACGTAAAGTTTAGACTGCTGCTCTTTTACTTTTCCTGTAGTTGCCGGATGGAGAATATGGAATCGACGGTACTGCGGTTGGTGCGAAACCCGTTTGCGATTCTGGGAGGATTTTTTCTATATGTGGGTGCAGGCGGTTTGACATAATTTTTGCAAGAATTTTTCCTCCGATAGCCAGTAGTGAAATTCCTCGGTAGTTTCCGCAGTCTGATGCACTTCCTTTGTTCTTAAATATATTCACTATATTCGCGTTGCAAAAGTCCTGAGGTACCTCTCCGCTTTCTCATATGACATCAAAGAGAGTCTTAAGATGACCAATAAGTTTTTTACTTTTTGTGAGGTAGGAAAGATTAAGAAGGCGTCATTGGGAAGAACATGTTGAAAGAATGGACCACGATAGAATAGCAAAATGGGCGCGAATGCGAATACCCAACTCAGAGACCAACTGGCAAGCTAGCAAAAAGATGGTACGAAAGTTGGACATCTGGATCCAGAGAGAGGCTGTTTTAACATAGCTGGTTTTACACAGGGATAACCCTATTGCAAGAAGAGGAAGAAGAAAAAATTATTAGAAATTTAACTTGGTACTATTACAGTGTAATACTTTCGAGCTCATTGATGTCATACACGCTAACTTTTATTGATTTATCTATAGTCTACGTAAGTGAATATAGAAATTGCAAAAAATACCGTATATTGGCGTATATCTTGATACCGAGATAAAAACCTTATTGCGATTATGCGAAGTAGAAAATATTTAAGATAACTCTTTTCAGAGACCCCAAACAAGTACCGTATGATCGAAAAAAGATGGCGTCCAGTTGGCTTGGAAATGAACATCGAGCGATCTTCATCTCATACTCTCATAGCCATCGTTAACGGCGTTTTTTTCGAACATATTGTATTACTTAAAATGTAAAACAGTATATACAGGGTGTTTCAAAAAGCATGTACTATCTATCGTGGGGAGATTCCTTAGGTAAAAATAAGATTTACTTTTCGTATCAACTTAGGTTCGATTCTGCTTTGTTTCGTAGCTACAGGAGTCTTTTTTGTTTTCGTCGCTCTGTCGCGCTGTAGAAAATGATAGATTCCCAAAAATTAATAGATTTAGTATTTGTAAGAGAGATTTTATGGTAAATTTAAGAGAGATTTTATTGGTAAGAGAGATTTTATAATAAATTTTCACAAGTACCTCGCTATTCCTCGCCGCTCTACTATGTTTTAGCACCTCGAGGCTTGCTCGGCGCGGTATCGCGCTGCTTGCTCGCCGCTATCCTCGTCGCTCCACTATGTTCATAGTCTAAGCCACGTAAACCCAGCCAAAAAGAACGCGACTTGACAGAGGCGAAATAATTCTAGCTTGGAAAATTCGAACTGCCTACCTATTAGCAGCGATGATTTAAGATCATGTGACGCCGGTGAAGCGATGGCCGACGACGGGGTACGTCTTCTCGATCACAGGGTTGAGGCGAGATATTTGGCGCTTGGGTGTGTTTTCATAGGTAGTTCAAATCATTTGACTATTGACGGAAGAATGAAGAGGAGTTGAATTTTAGTGTTTGGTTAGCTATTTATAACGTTATTCTCCCTATACATGAAACTCCCTTTCTCGAAAAAAAGACGAAATGAAACTGAAAAAAGACAAATATTAAGGAGTCAACAACTTCCGCAATATTTAACGATTAGAGGCAAGATAGGAACTAAGGGATAGGGATTTAAGAACTTTTCAAATATCTTGGTACTAAACCTAATAGGTTTGGTACCATTAAAAAAAGGATAACGCGTCGCAGAATAATACGTCATAGGTGAGAAAAAATATTCGTATTTAAACAAAATTATTAACCTCATGTAGCCTCGCCTTCCTATGTACTCAGGAGCCGCCACTGAAAAGCACTTGAAAGAAAATTAAAATAAATAAAAAAAAATGAAGACTTTAACCCCCTGTACCTATGAAAAGAGCAGAATCGGATCTAAGTTGATATAAAAAAATATGTCATATTTTTATGTGGGGGATCTCCCAACGAGCGATGGCACATGTTTTTCGAATGACCCTGTAGAATACAATAAAACTTTCTCAGAGGTACGTCGTAAGCACAAAATGGACACAAACGAGATATTACTAATTCTTGTTCACTTCATATTAATTCACAACGGTTCTTTAAAGTGTTCAAGCAAGCGATACTACGTAGTTCTGAAAAGAATTCTGTACAACTCTCATTGGTCTATGATACACGATAGACGACACAACGAGTAAGCGAGGTTTATTTATTACTTCAAGTCAAACGGTAGGCAACTGTCACTAACGTCATATCGTCGGTGAAATGTGATAAACTGCTAACTCCATTATTCCTAATTTTACAGGAGAGTATTTTCATGCCTTAATATGATAAAGAGATAAGAATTTTATTTGCTGGGGAACAATAAAACTCAATATCTTCTTTTTATATTTCGTGTTACATCATTTTTTTCAGACACAATAGGGAGATAGCAGATATTCGTCTTGCAGAAATAAGAAATAAAAATATACTTCTGGAGATAGCAACCTTTATTGTTTGAAATTTTGAAAATGGAATTGAATATTACCCAAACAGATTTAGAATTAATCAATTAAATTTAAAAAATATGATATTCATAACCATATATTTATAATATCGTCGGTCTAGAAGCGAAACATACAAGTCCAAAAACGAATAAATTTTTAATGCATTTTTAAAGCAGCAAAAAGTAGCAGCATTTTGGACTTAATGAATATGAAAATAATTTAAAAATTAAACTTATAATTCTTAGAAGATATGGTAGAATTCTTCAATGCTTATCCTAATTTTTATACAACGGTAGTAGACTGAGCTTGGAAAACAGTGCGTGATTTTATTAAATTTTTATTACTTTTCTCCTTATTTTTTTAATATTTATGAAAATTATATCATTTACGTGGAAAAACGTTGAAAAAAATAAAACTGATTAGGTATTATGGAAATTCTTGTACAAGTAAGTATTGGTTATTTAAACTATTTATAGCACGCCGATGAATTGCTCGTATATAGAGAATTTTGTTTTTCCCCTGACCCTTTACCGGATACACCGTATTTACAGAGCGGATCGACGCAGGGTCGGACTGGCCATATTATATAAATATAACTATTAGGGATTAGGTTAGGCCCTTTATAGTTCATTATTTATTCTTAACAATATTTGCTTTTGCATTGCATTATGGCATTTGCATTGCATTGGTTTACCTTGCATTAGGGTAGTTCTCTGAATTCTATACAGGCTGAGTCTTAGATAAGTGCAAATATTTTCAGGGTTGGTAAATCTCGATAAAAGAAACAATATTTTCTCTTTACCGTTTTTTCAAATAAATCCAAAACAACCGAGTTATTTCACTTTTAAAATTTTCAATTTTTTGCTGTAATTTTGAGAATCAGTGGATTTTCTTTCTTGTAAATTTAATCTACTACCTATGTTGCCATATTACAAACAAAGTATGTTCTTAAACTAAAAATTAAAAAAAATTCCAACATTTTTTTTTTTTTAAATTTCAAATTAAAAAAAAATCGCGCAAAAAACGTCATAATCGTGTTTCTTGGATAGAAATATACTACCCCTAAAAATATTTGCACTTATTTAAGACTCGCCCTGTATATAATTTGGAAAAATTGACCAAAACACAAGGCGAAAAAATATGCAAAAAAAAACCACACGGGCCCCTCTTTACATCGCCACCGGGCCCCTTTGGCCTAGTGCGACCCTGGATCGACGTACTGTACTAAAGAAACATACGAGTAAGAATCCGTGTTTGCTTTAGCCCGATCGTAACGGAAATTACGGAGATAGCAGCATTTCGGTGGCTATTTCAGATCTCTGGGAGTTAGATCTCCCAGATATTATTGAGTTAAAATAGCAAATTTTCTTTAATGGGAAAAAATGTATTTGCTTTCCCTACTTATAGAGAATTTTTTTCTCTTTCTAATGATATAAAAAACTTATTAACGTAAAAAATGGAGTTAGCAGGTTATCATATTTCACTGACGATATATTCTTTTGTCAAATATATATCTCTTAAACCCCATTCTTAGAACTACATTATGTCGCTGCCGAGACACCCTGATGAATCAACGAAAGACATTCAAATTTTTCGGTTCGACGTAGTTCTGAGTACACGGCTTTAGTTATCGTTTTGTAAAAACTAACCTGAAAATTAACTCGTCCAGAGAGGACCGACAAAAGGGTGGATATGCCATCCACAGAAACAAAAGCGAATCGGTACTCATCAATCCTAAGCATCATTTGTAAACAGCGGGCAACTGATTGGATATATTCATTATTCTACACGAGAAAAAAACAAACATCAGAAAAGAAATAAATATTACAAAAATGGACTTTTGCTACTACTGTTTTAGTAAAAAAAATATTGTGCAATTACTTCCCATCTTAATTTATAATACTGCATGGTACCCAATGTTATACTGAGGTTTAGTTAAAATACAAATTACCGTTAGAATGATATAATTATTGCCAACAAAATCTAAGAAATAAACTCAATTCATTCAATGTAGATTGTGATTGTGTAAAATTTAGTTGATCAAATTTAAATGGAGTAATAATAAAAGTCCATTTTCAATCAAGCTAATGTTATTTTCAAGCAATTTAATACGCTTTATAATATACTAAACAACTCACCTATATTTAATAATAAATATTTTAAAAGCTAATAGTTTCCTATTTTTCTTTTCATGCAATACCATATTTCATATAAAAAGTATATCTACTCTTTAGGTTGTAATTTCTTTAATATTACAACACATTCTGTCATGCGGCAAAAAATCATTTTTTTTTTAAATTATGTAGTTTTGATATTAAATGGCCACTACACTACTCGCGAAATGAGCCGAAGTAAGTCAAAGTCGGATAGTGAAAAAGGGTTTTTTGTGTTTCCTCGTCTAAATGAAAAGCAGAGAGGAGACGATAGACGAGGATATACTAAAGAGTCCTCCTCATTATTCGACCTGGACATACTTCGGGTCACTTCGCGAGTAGTGTAGAGCCTGTTTTAGACTTCTATATTAATATTTAATAGTAACATTATCAGTAAACGGAGAGAACATTTTAGTTGGATTAAAGTGTATAGTCTCTAAACATGTAAACTTTAGTTACCAAATACTAGAGATGAGCAAGAAATCGCAAACTGTGATTCAATCGCAGCGATTTTAAAATCGCAATCGCAATCTGCGATTGGCTCTCATAGGAAACTGCGATTGTGATTTCTTCTCTTTGCGAGTTTCAATGTAGGCAACCAGTATTACAATAGCTGCGATTTGCGACTTTGTTGCGATTTTGCTGCGATTGATTTTCTAAACTGGCACCGTGATTTCTATCTGCGAGTTGGAATTTTTAGGAGTTGCGATATTGTTGTGAATGTGTAATTTTGTGGTCTAGTGAAGCATTTTATACCAAACTGCGATTGAAATTTCTCTCTGATATTACTTATTTATAGATAAGGTATGATTTTCTAGGACCACGATCATAATATACCGGGTGTTTCACTCAAGGGTGGTTCACCCCTATACATTTTTTATTTTTTCTAGTAAAAAAACGAGATTTGGAATGTTAGTATCTGACATAAATTAGGATTGATTGACGCATTCAATTATCGTTTTTAGTCACTTCCTGTTTCACCGGAAATGACTATAACTTTTGATTCGACACTCTGAATGGAATGGCATTTCATATGGCTTTAAACTTTTGACATTTTCACTTTTCAAAATCGTATTTTTAATTTCAATCTAGAACGTCATGGCTGTGTTAAAAACACTAATTTTAATCAAGATGCCTTGGAAGAATAGATTTAATGGTCTATTGTTTGGGTAAGGTCGTCTTGTCCTGGCCAATTAAAAGATGCCCAAATCGTAATTTTAATCATATCTCAATTTTTTCGGAGCATTTTTTTAGGAATAATTTGATTTGGTAAATATTAAAATCGCAATCGCAGTTTCACTTGCGATTGGAGAATCTCAGTTTTGCTCATCTCTACCTACATTTATCTTAATTTGTTCAGCGGTCTTTCGCTGCACATTTCTGGGGTGTGATTCTAAATATTTTCGACGACTGAAAATATACATGAGAAAGACTGACAACTGTATTGAAATTGCTAAAATCTGCCCAACTAATCCAGGAAGATTTTGACAGAGGATAGTTTTTGCTGGCTACCTTTTTAAAGGCACCACATATGTACACACAAGCACACAACAATGTAGATTTTAAAGTAGAAATAATTTAGAATCGAGGCCCTTATTGATATCTGAAAAATTAAGCCCCATTTTAATAATCTAGGTCAATTTAAGTTTCTTAGTTCAGTTCAAGTTTCATTATTTTTATAAAATTTTTAAATATAATTACCTAGATTAGAGAAATGGCAAATAGCTTTCTTTAATATTAATACAACTATTAATGAAACTAACGAATAATAAGAAATTATATAACAGCAACTTTAACTAACATGCAGCACTAATTCTACACCTATTTTAATCATTGTATATTTGTCAGTTAGTATAGATTTTTTAAACAGTAGTACATGGCGGCACCTTTCATACGACGCGGAGGCTCCAAGAAGAACAAGTTTGTTGTAGGTATGGAGAATAGAAATAGGTTAGCAATAGGTAGGTAACTATAGTTGTAGGTTAACTTAAAGCACTTTCGAAAAATTTATAGACTTGTACAGGGTGTCCTTAAAAAATGTTACACATCAAAGTTGTGTTTTTTTGTAATGGAATACCATATGCATAGCATAATATTAATTTTCAGATTCTAGTAAAAAAATAAAGGTGAGTTTCATTAGAAAAGCATACAACTAAAATGTAAGGTTTTTAATATATTTAACATTTTCTAAAAATAAAGAATACATTTTAAATTTCAATAAAAGCTACCTAACTTGTAATTTATCCTATATAGCCTGATATAATGTAGATAAAATAACAATTATTGTACTTTAAAGCAAATTAAAACTTAACCCGAAAAGTGATATATGGCGAAACAAAATTAATATCGAAATATTGAACAGTGGTCGTTGTAAGTTTCTTGATTCTATCTAGTTTCCGACGCTTGGGGTTGTTGTTTTAAGAGTTTGATTTCGTTCGTAAAAAAGTAGGAAATCAACCATTTCAACCTATAATAACTACAATGGGTTTCAACAGGGTTATCGGGTTAACAAGGTTATATCTTTACAAGGTACAGTATGATAAAAAAAGAACGGAAAAGTTAGGCGTCCAGCTAGCTTGGAAATTACAATCAATGACATTCCCCATATCATTTTAAAATATATCAATTTTAATAAAGAAATTTTACATATAAAATCACAGCGATCTCCATTTCATAGCCATCGTTGACGACGTTATTTTTCAATCATTATTGTATATTCCTATAGGTATACACCAGCTGCGTACTTTAAATTTTGCTGACGACCAAGTAGTGCTTGCGCAGAATTGCAATCAACTTAGAACATGATGAAATAAAAGTCTATGTACAATATTAAAAGTGGGGTTTACAGATAAGCCTAAAACAATTAATATCTGGTAATCAATAGTGAAGCGGCCTTTGAAGTTCTGACACTCAGGTCAGAGAGATCTACAACTTTAAATATTTATAGCCAACCGTAACTAAACAGGGGGGGCATTGGGAAGAACGAAATCAAACTCTTAAAACATTGGTGAATGCAAAGCGCATATAAGTGATAAATTGTTGAATTTGAACTAATTTTACAGGCATGGTGAAGTAACCTCAGGTAATACAAACACCTTAATTTTTATCACATAATCAAGATCTACTAATTCATAAAAATGAAAATATTCAAGTCTTTGTCTGAAGAGTAGGCAACCTTAATAATATTTTGAAAATACATACATTTTCCATTGAATATCAGAATAATACACCAAGTGTGGTCCATTTAAAATAAAAGAGTACCTTGCTTTCAAAATGATAATGTTCAATATTAATTTTGTCCCATACTCTACAACTTTTCGGTTCAAGTATTAATTTGGTTGAAAATACCTACCTACAATGGTTATTTTAACTGTATATCAGGCTATAGAAGGTAACTTACAATTTATGTTGCCTTTATTGAAACTAAAAATTTGTTCTTTAATTTTAGAAAATGTTAGATATATCAATTTTATATATTCATTTTAGTAAGTCTTTCATAAAACTAAGAGAATATATTTTTTTCTAGAATCTGAAAATCGATTAATATATACTAAGGGCTAGCAAAGGTTAGTCTTGGGTCGAGATTTCCGTATGTAAGAAGAGTACAATGCGTTTATAATGTACTTAACAAAGAGACACTTACACTTTTAGTAAAAATAAGTGGAATTGAGTTGGTGTTCGACAGTGGTCGCGCTATTAGAACTCTGAATTCAAAAATCGATATCTCGAAATCCATTAGAAACAATCGATTGTAGTTTTTTTCAATAACTTTCTAAATATTTTTGCTATATTTTCTTCGCAGACAGTATGTGAAAATCTTTATAAATAAAAAGTTATATGATTGCTGAGAATTGCTATGCACTAAAAGTGGTGGATAAAGTGGTTCTTAAGTTATCGCGTGTTATGTGTTAAAAAATTGAGTTTTTAAATTATCGCTGATAAATACTACTGACGTTTTCTCGTTATAAAAAAATGGACACCATAACGCTATCCTTATAATTCCATTTTAGATGCTCAGAAACATATCTAATGATTTTATCTAGTTATCTTTTCGAAAAAAGTCTTTTAAAAATAAGCGGTTGGCTATCGTCATTTTACTTTACTTGATAGGGAGGGGCGTACCGGAGAAATGTGGCAACGCCGCAACAGTACACAGTCGCATAATGCGACTCGCATTTCTCTCACTCCTACTTAATAAGATCCCTATGCGATTTATTTCCACACATGTAAATACCGACCCAAAAGTAAGAGTTGCCAGCACGGTAGGATGTTTAATTAAAAAAATACAACTTTGATGCGTAACATTTTTGGGGACACCTTGTAGAACTCTATATATTTTTAAAAAATTCTCAAAATTAACCAACATATTTATGGCCCCAAAGTTTATTTCAATATAGACCACCGTTCTCCTTGAAGCTTTTGCGTCGTGTGAGAGACGCCACCCTGTAAAATACATTTTGACCGGTTTTGAGTGTGCGATAAAAAATTTTACGCCCGAATGGAAGGGTTGCATGCAAAAGTGTGCAGTAAGTGTAAGTAATCCATAAGTGTATAATATGCATTTGCAACACGAATAATTACGTATGTATGTAATGCCAAAGAATTTCTCGAATTTGACTCCGGCAATTTTTTTGGGAACATTCCCTCGTCACGAATGGGAACTTTATTACGAAACTAGTCGTATTTAAAATATTTTACCAATGACCACTATATAAAACAGATGATAATACCTGGTCCAACCGTACTTGTCAACACGGAAGCAAAACACACTAATAAAACACGTTCCTGGGCAACAATCACTAGACAACAAAGCTGTCGTTATACTCCTAGATCATATATACTTACGTGGATAAATCAACGCCATAAGTTTAGCATTAAAAAATATGCCACCAACATCACGATATGCAATTTTCAAACCTTCTTTGTTGCACTTATGAAACGTTCAATAGCTTTGTCTTTTCGATGACCTTACTTTGCGTATGCGCATTAAAAGTTGCACGTATTTCCAAAATGATCACAATTTTATACGGTTTAGAACGTACAAACTATACATTGTTATGGAAACCAACTTTTCATTGTCATCATATTGGGCCTGATGAATAAAGAGAAGCACACACACAATTGCTTTTTGTATAGAACTATCTTTGTTGGTTGTTTACAAATTGTATAAGTCTATTTCAAGAAATTTAAGGCTCTTCTTCCCACTGGCGCTAGCCTAGCATCTGTAAGGGTTTAGCTGTCACAAAATGCTACAAAAACCATGTGACCTTTCTTCACGAATCTTTTTTTATTTGTTTATATACATCTTAAGATGTGCTTATAATTATATTTCCTTCCCCAAACTCAACTCAAACTGTTTCAAATTTACCCCTAAAACGCCCTAAAAAGAGATGATTTTATAAATAATTTTTTTAGCATTAAATGTATTCAAATCGATTTTAAAACTAATTACGAGCATGTCCGGAAGCTTCCTTAATAAAGTGAAACAAAAATTATTTCAAAATATTAAAAAACATGGTCGCAATTTTGTGACGCCCGACCCTCTGCAAACCCAATTTTGATCATTTTTGTTGCCCGTAATGTGGTGCCCTCACGTGAATTTTCTTGCTGACGCTTTTGAAGGCGGGCAAAGGAAACCAGGTACGTATTCGAATTATTTGGATAAATTATTTTATAACGCTTGTCTCTTACACAATAATTTGAACGGCAAACAAAATTTGCGTTGCATCTATTGTGTGTGTATGGTCATTGATCATGATGCAATGTAACAAAACATAAAACAACAAATAATTAATAAGATGGTTTGACCACTGTGAAGTAATGGAAGGCATCTGTATCTTCTAGAATAAAAAACTTTTTTAAGTTTGCAAACCTAAATTTGTACGTTCCTAAGAATATTGATATTCCTACGGAGTGGCTAAATGTATTTTTTATATAATTTAATTTTTGTGACAGTAAACATTCAATTTATTGTTCAAATATATGCATTATACATATTAAATTTTTAAAATAAATGTTCAAATTTGGCGCGTGGTCCTCGACAAAGATAGATAGAGTAGAAGCACAGCGTGTGCAACAAAAAAGGAAGATAAATGAAAGTCGCTGATATTTTTGCGACAGTTTCCATAGTGATTTACTTATCCACGTAAGTATATAATATGATCTAGGGTTATACCGTATGATTGAATAAAAACGGCGTCAGCGACGGCTATGAAATGAAGATCGGTGTCATTTTATATGTAAAATTACCTATATGGGAAATGTCATCGATCGTCATTTCCAAGCCAACTGTATGCCATTTTTTTTCGATCATACGGTACTTTAATATTATATAAGACTTATCTATGCGTTATAATTCATTCCTTTGACATTTATTTAGTAAAATTTAAGCGTTTAACTTTAATGTGATCGTATTTAAAGTGTAGTGAGTAATTCGTGTTGCAAAAGCATATAAGCATATTCTGGACTACTACATTCGCCACTATTCATTTTTTGCGTAACTAAAAATAACAAAGACAGTGCCTAAATTAATATTAAAAAAAACATTCTGACGTTGAAAATATTTTAATAATATTATGTAGGCAATACTGTCTCTCAAGAAAGTTATCATAGTTAAATGTATACTAACTGTAGATCTATTTTAAGAAATAATATCTTCATTGGATGGTAATTAACTAAAAATTACATTACTAACTAATATAACGATCAAACCAATAATTTATTTTAACCATCAAATTTCAATTAAAAAACAAAATACGATCTACCATCCAATGAGATTTCAGCACTTATTAAATATTTATGTGTATACCGATATATCACTGCCTGATACCCCTTGTTCATCAAAACGATTTTCTGAATAATGCTCAGTACTTTCACCCCTACCAGGATCTGATACCAATGTCGTTGCTAAAGCGTCAAACTAGAACCAACCGTTGACAAAGTGAAACATGATTGCTTTAATTACTAGATTTGGCATTTCCTTGGAATAACACTATTATTTATGTTTTTTTTAAACAAAAATCAGCCAAATAAATGCCAAGTTTGTTTACAACATATAAATCGCTATTCATGGTGAATATGTCCTAAAGCACACGGATTTGCCTGCAACCTAAGACGGAGACCCGCGTTTAACAGAACAAAAACTGACTCCACATTATAATGATAGTTAATTGGAAAATCATTTGTTTTAAATCAATCGAAAAATGATGATGAACTCAGGTATAATACTGATTTTATAGTTAATATAATCTTTTAATACCAAATGTTAGTAAAGCAGAAGTAACTTATCACATAAATAAACTCTAATCAGCACTTAGTTTATTAATGTATCCATTGAAATAATACATCACAACAGCAAACATTACCCTCAACCATGAGGTATTTTACCTCTTGAGCGAGACTGGCAGCATCAGCCAGAGACATGCCAAACAAAATGGAGCTTGCTCCAGAAATAATATTGTAGCAACCTTTCAGTTCTTTTTTCGGCACAACTTTGACACATGGTATCTTGTTTTTATGCTCCTAAAGGATTGTGAGAGTATTTTTGGCATAACACCATTTATAAATATCCAAAATGTTAGGATATTACAAGACACAAGTGAAAGATGTTAACATAACATGCCATTAAAAATGAAATACTAAATGTTTATAAAACTATTCTATTAGGTAAAAATTAACAGCCTATTTTAACCACAGTTAGAAGCCCAAAACAAGCAGTAAGCAAAAATTCTAATTAAAAGCAAATATAAAATATATTTTATAAACTGTATAGCAAAATGTACTTAAACTTGAAATATGCTACATTTTACTATCAGAAACGTTATACCTCACCATGCAGTCAAATTAATCAAAATAAATTACCTGAGCTTTCAATTGATCTTTTAACCAAGTTAAATAAAAATGTAAATCAGACCTTTCCATTGGAGTCTGTGACCAGCACGCAATCTTGGCTATAATTCTCGAAGTCATATTTGTAATAAATCCATCTTGACGATTTAACAAATTCAAGAAAGGTCCCCAAACAGATTCCTTTTTTTTATTTGCATATTCATGAAATATTTCAACACGGCTGCGATCCTCCTAAATTATAAAATATTTGTAGTAATATAATTATTATTATTAAGCACTAAAAAACCTGTAGCATATCATCAATCAAAACAAGAATATACTGTAGAGTTTGATCTTTGGACACATGTCCTAATAAATTCAAAAATGTTTGAGCGCATTGGTTTCTATCCTTTTTCAATAAACTTTCCCTTTTCTGATGGTCATTTACATCAAATGCCACAATAAAATTATAATGTTCTTGAGATATCATCTGGGATCTAAAAATTGCATGAAAATATTGCTATTGTAAAAGGCATCATGCATAAGTATACTGACTGGTAATAGGACTGCCAGTTCACTTTTTGAGCTCGAATATCTGTAGCTTTTTGTTGTAAAACACTGGTAGCAGCTAACATATCTGAAATTGTGTTGTCCATGATAATAATAAATAATTATCTATAGCCTGCAGCCCCACAGAAAGCAAGTAAAACGATTTAGCATGTAAAGCACCATTTGCAACTAGAAACAAAATAACACGAACATATGCTGTGAGTGAGCCAACCAAAAGCGTGTAGCATTTCCTTCCAACTTCTTAATAATCTTTATACATATGTAAAAGAAGACTGTTAAAATGCTTTACATGCAAAATCGCTTTACTCGCTTTCTGTGGCCGTGGACATAGACTTTTTGGTATGACTTTTTCATCAAGAAAGTAAAAAATAAAAGACAATTTAAAAATTATATTTTTTTTTGGCAAAATCAACAGTCATGGACATGCTTCATGAGACATGCCTGAGGCACCGTCTAAACGAGCCTTAACAACTGCGGTCACGTGAATTCTCAGCTGACACACCTTTATTTAATGTTCTAATTATTAATATTTGTGAATTTCATGTAAATTACCTTAATAGAAATATAGTTTTCTAGTATATTAAAAAGTAATAAAACTATTAATTGTAGCAACAAAAAAAACAGCAAAATAAAACTACGTCTTACCTATCTTATCATCCTCTAAAATTTCTTTTATTTTAGGATCAGCTCCGGACAAATTAGAAGCCATGGTTAAAAACACTTGAATTTCTCAAAAAATATATGTAATATATACTTATTTACTGCCACAAAATGACAAAATATGTAACACCTCCAAACTCCAAACTCTTTAGTCCATAGACTTTAGAATTCAGTCTTGTGATTTTTCTTGTGAACCTTGTGACTTGTGGATGCTTTTTTGACATGAACAAGAAGTGACATATCTGCTCGTTAAAATTTAAAGGCTTATGGCTTAAGCTGCAAGGACTATCCGGCCTGTGGAGGGCTTTAAAATCCGGCCTATATAAGAAAACCATGATTTAAAAATTGATTGATGGGTAAAGGTGTGGATCCGGTGGCTGACCTTGAAGCCCATATTTGCTGCATTTGATCATCGATACTACGCAAGCGCACATCGTCGATGTTGCCAAATTGCAGTTTATTTTCGAATTATTTGCAGTTGAAATTTTTTTTTTCAGTGTTAATAAATAATAATACAAATTCTATAATTAATTTTATAATTTCAGATTTATCATGATATCCAAAAATAAGGAATGATATATAAAATTGAATATATAAAATTGTAATAATAATAACATTTATTTATATATTTACATTAGAATTAAAAATTATCATTTACGGATTTTTTCTTAATGGTTTTAAACTTATTAGAATTATTGAAAATTGAATATATAAAATTGTAATAATAATAACATTTATTTATATATTTACATTAGAATTAAAAATTATCATTCACGGATTTTTTCTTAATGGTTTTAAACTTATTAGAATTATTTTATTTCTTTCAAGTTATTTAATTTCTAGTTATTTATATTTACAGGCAACAATAGTTTTGATTATATGTATTGATGTATTGAAGTACTACCATGACTAGTCTTATAGAACAATATACGTCAATGGGAGATTACCTCTCGATGAGAGGTAACATTTTACCTATATGTTACTAATATAATATATATTAACTATTACTAATATATTATATTACTTTGATTATAATGTTTGTATCATAATTTTTTAAAAATATGAAGTTAGTGGATTAATAGCAATTTTAGACATATATTTTATCGAAGAGTGTGGTGATAAGACTAAAATAAGCTTTATGTTTTATCTTTTTCTCTTTAGAAGGGAGATGGTTTGTGTCGTAGAATACATTACAGTATTTAATATCGTGTACTTTGATATTCTTTTCTTAATTTACTGTAATTTCTTGTTTCCTATAATGCCAAGTCTTGACAATATGGTGAAGGTTGAGTTTTGATCTTATTAGTTTTATACCTGTTTTTATACAAGACCAAACTAAGACCTAGTTAGTTTGTAATTTATATTAAGATCTTTCTTTATAATATTTGTTATGTCTTAATCTTAATACTATATTATGCTTTGTCTGGAAAATAAAGGTAAAAATATCTGAATTTTGCATATCCTATTCCATCCTTCCATTAGGAAAAATATGGTTTATAAATCATATATGCTAAGAAAATCACGTAAATTAGGTGTAAGAATAGAGAAATCTTAAGGTTGCAGAAAAATTAATGCAATATATGTATAAGCAGAATTAAACAAGATAACCGTTAATGTTGCTGAAGCTGATTGTATAATTTTAATTACGGAGGCTAAAAGGCCTTTTAAGGCCTCCGTAGTTTTAATAGAATGTTAAAAAAAACTATTATGAAGATGACATGGAGCTACAGCATTTAAAAATTAAAAAAAAAGAAAAAACTTGGACACATCCTTTTTAATTTCCCGAATTTTTAATAAAGCCCTTTTTAAACGTAGCACAATTATCTAGAGCAATTAGATTAATTATACGAATCTAAAGTTTTATTTCTATTTAATTTTATTTACTATGAAAATACATAATAAGCGTTCACGTGTTGTGCGAAATATTAAAATAATAATATAAATAACTTAGATTAAGATAAATAATATACCGCGTACTATGACTGAAAAAAAATATCGTCAGCGATGACTATGAAATGAAGATCTCTGTCATTTTATATGGGAAATGTCCTCAATCGTCATTTCCCAGCCAACCGAACGCCGTTTTTTCGATTATACGGTATATATTGACAAAAAAACACTGAAAAGCACATATTTGTTTTCTACTGAAAATAATTCCAAAATAACTTGCAATCTGGCAACATCGAAGATGTGCGCATGCGTAGTGTCTGTGACTATATGCAGCAAAAACTCGTTTCAAGGTCAGCCACCGGATCCACACCATTACCGATTGATGATTTATTTTTTTAAGTAAAAAAATAGAATATAATCAGAGATATGGAAGTGGGAGAATGAGCTTCGACCAGTGCGCATCCAAATTTTTGTCGACGGCAAGATGGCAGACATCTTCCAGGTCTCGCTGTCACTTCCCCTCTTTAATTGACATCTGTTTGTTTTGTTTTGTTTTTCGTTTGTGTTGTAATCTTCTTATATGTAGATTATAGATTACCACCTCAATGCCCTCTATAAAAGATCAGCCCACGGGCGGACTTTTGTTTACTTCATCAGCTGTACATACTTAGATATTGGGTTAGATTCTGTATTCATATTTTGTCGGTAGATTTTTGGTATTATTTGTTATTGTAGTGCAAAAAACTAATTATTTTGGTGTTTAAGTGACATAAAGTACTACCAGGTATATGGCTACTATGATGGTCAATCTGTTTCTCATAAAAAAACACGAAATATTACGTTTTGTTAAGTGCTTTAACCTAAAAGTGCCCATAAATTTTTTATTTATCGTGATTTTTGTGTGTGTTTTTTAAGACTCAACAATTCATCAATAAAGCTTAAGTGGAGTGTGTTTTTGGTGCTATGCCTCATCTTTGTTGGTGGAAAGGATAGTTATACTAGGCAGCTTAAAGTATCCGGAAGAGCAAGAAAAGTGGGTACGAGTTATAAATCAAGACAATTCTATTGAAAATATCTTTAATAAATTTAAAAATAATATTCTCCCAGGATGGTATTAAAGAAAACTGGACAATTATGTTTATTTTATTCATATTGTGGAATCTCCACTCCAAGTGTTGTTGGTTCAGCTTCGATAGATTCAAACACATAAGATAAACACGTAAGTAGGTATTATGATCTAGGGAAAAATAAAGAATATGTGTATTAAAGATCATAAAAAGATTATTATTTTGAATTCAAAATTAAAAAAGATTTTTGTAAAGACAAGAATGATAAAGTTTAAAAGAAGAATGTGTTTTTGTTTGATAATATAATGTATGTAAAGCATAACATATATTTGTTCAGTAATTTTTACTGATAGTGTCGATTATTTATAATACCAAATTAATATCAAATATTTAAGTGATGGCTGAATACAATATGAATAAAATAACAATAAAATTGGTATATTTGCAATACAAAATTAAGTTTTAAGAATAAAGGTGTTACTAAAAATACTAAGAAGTTCATATTTCTTTGTTTTAATTGGTCGAATTTTATTTACATTTTATTTAAGAATTATACCGTATCATCGAAAAAAAATCGGCGTCTAGTTGGCTTGGAAATGAACATCGATGACATTCCCTAAATAATTGTACACATAAAAAAATTAAATAGAATTTTACAATCTTGGAAAATTTGATATTCTTGAACCTTGTTTCTAAATATTCTAATTTTTTTGATTTTCTTGGGATTTAGGTTCGGGAAAAACGCTGATTAAGTTTTCATTTGGTTTTTCATTATTTTTATTTGGTTTAAAAAAAAAACGTTTCGGCTAACATTATAGCCTTCATCAGTGTTGTGTCATATGAAAAAAATAGTGTCGAATATAATCCAAAAAATTACATATGTCTTCATTATCCTTCTTACCTTAATTTTGGATATCAAGATAAATGTGAAATTATAAAATTAATTATAGAATTCGTATTATTATTGATTAACACTCAAAAAAAAATTCAACTGCAAATAATTCGAAAATAAACTGCAATTTGGCAACATCGACGATGTGCGCTTGCGTCGTATCGATGATCAAATGCAGCAAATATGGGCTTCAAGGTCAGCCACCGGATCCACACCTTTACCATTTGTAAATATAATTTTTCGAACATTGATACTTGCAAAATATACATATAAATTTTGTGAATGCAAATAATAATACATCACTATTAGTAGATATTGAATGTTTTGTTAAATTAGATCGATTTTCAAACCCCAAAATTTAAAATATATTTACATTTTACCCAATATCTTATGTAATACATTATTTGTATATTGTAAAACATCTGCTGCATTTGTATGGTTCATAGTTTATTTGCCAAAGTATTTATTACTATAAATAGGTATATATGTTGTAGTTATTAACTGTATATTATGTATATTTAATGTGAACTATATAATTTTTAAAATACAAACCAAAAATCTGAGGAATAATTATGTTTTCCATGTATTCTACAACATATTTATTAATCCGTAGTATCTAACTAGCGTGACGTCATAAATCTCGCCCAAGGCTGTTCTATTAGAGACGGCATTGGGCAATGGTTCCGTCCTATGGTTATGGTCATGTTATGGTTCCGTCTCCGTCAAATGTCAAGTCAAATCACAAGTCAAATCAAACGGGTCGAGACGAGAAATAACAAATAGCATCAAATGTGGCATCAAAATAATCAAAATGAAATACTGTTATATAAAATATTTTTAAAAATTAACTGTTTAGGTAATACGTGGTAATACCACTGTTTACAGAGTTTTTGGCACAAGTAGGTCTTTATATTTGCGGCGTGAAATATCTATTATATTTTGCTTGGTAACATAAACTCTGGAGTTCTCTATTCTAGTATATTTTCGAATTTATTATGGCAATTGAGCCAAAATTAAAGCGGCACTGCAAATTACATCAGAATTTGCAATTTCCCGTAATAATAACTAAGAATAATTCTATAGAAAAAGCTAAAGGTGTTTTTAATGGATTTTCTGTAAGTATTGGCAATACAGAAGACATAAATATTCTGATTTCGATGGGAAATTTTGGTAAAGCTAATTTTTCAAGAAGCTATCCCCAGTTTGTCAAGGCAAATGAATCTAAAATAATTCGTGACAGGCAACTGAAACATAGAAAATATTTTTCTATTCAAGGTGAATTGTTAAATAAAAAGAAACCTGACAAACTTATAGTCATTCCTGATAGTGATTCTGAGAATGATTATTTTATAAATTTAAAACCTGAATTTAAATTGGATTATTCAGAAATAGTAGAAAAGGTTTGGCTTTCATTAGAAGAGGCGTTTTTCCTCTCGAGTGTTATTAAGTGTCTTAGTGTCACATATAAGAATGAATACTTAAATATTGATCAGATGTGGGATCTTTTTAGCAAATTGCAACATAATTTTATTAGGAATTACTTGGTATATTATTATTATAGAAGTAAAAATTGGGTAGTAAAACCAGGAATCAAATTTGGAGGTGATTTTTGTAGGCATGTCTTCAAAATTAGTTAAACATATATTAATTTATCCTTTTCAGTACTTTATAAACAAGGCCCATCCTATTATCATGCTAGCTACATTATTCTGTTAGAGAGTATTGACAAAACGGAAGCAGATAGAAACTTTGATAGTGTATCTTTACTAGGACTGAATAGATTATGCGAAAGCACTGCAAAGGTAATACTAATTCAATTCCTACACATTAAAAATAGTTATAATTATCATTGCAGGAGTTAATTATATGCAGAGTCAAATTGCCAAAAGAGGTGACTTATAATAATTTAGAAAATATTGATATACAGGAAATACTAGTTCAAAGGTGGATTCCATCTGAAAAACATGATAACTAATTATATATTTATTGGAATATACTACTGCTAACTAAAAAGTACATGAGTTTATAATTACTGTGATTAATATCACATACTAGAACCAACTCTTGATGACTGTTCCAACCTTTTTTTTAATGGAATTCCAGTTCTTCTGAATTCTGTCCTTTCTTCTAAATATAAGTTCTTGCAATATTCCTTAAATTCTTCATTATTATACCATTCAGTTAAGCACTTTTTTAGGTTATTGTTTTGTTCCCTACATTTAATTACCATTAGGACATTACTATTTTTACAACATTCGGTGAATTGTTCAACTTCTTGGCTACATTTCTCCACACGGGCAATATCTCGCATCTTCTTTGGAATCATAACTTCCATTTCAACTTTACGAAGTGTCTTATCTTCAGGGTCACCTATAATAAATACACCCAAAAAGTTCTCCATTACCAACCATTTTAATAATATTTTATATTTCGTAAATTTACCTACGCCATGGGGCCCCCCACCTAATTTAGGATTTAACATTGATATATAGCAAACACCTGCTAAGTGCTGCGATTTGTATAAAATTTACAAAGACAGACTTTGGAGATCTCTGGATTGCCTTTGTAAATTAACCCTGTTAATGGTTTATCTAAATTTATCCAAAAATATGTACTTAACAAATACGTTTTAAAAATACTCTACAACTTCACAGTCACCAGAGCAGTCAGAGTGGTTCACAGTGAAGATCAGGTGAAAAGTGAAAACTAGTGAAAACAGAGTTGGTGAAAACTGGCGAAAACCATAACCCACCCATAACCTTAACTCTTCTCTTTCAGTTTCAGGTTTTTCCTATTCTGCAACCTCTGGCCTCTGGCTGCAGCTGAAAGACAAAGCTGAAAGCTGTCTTGTATGGTTTATGGCACCAGTGTTGCCAACTGCTAAAAAATGAAATCCCCTAGATCGATGCTTAAAATCCGCTAAATTTGATATTTTTCCGCTAAATAACTGGGTTTATAAATACATTATATATTAATGATATTGATTAAATTGCTTGTTATTGCTATCATTTAAAATTATTTTTAACTGGATAAATAAACGCAAGGTACTACTTGATATGTTAAAGTCTTTATTAACGGAGAAATACAAAAATAAAATTTAGGTATTCTCATTATTACCTATAATATCTAAAAACAACTCAAAAAAATAAAATAACAAATTCAAATCACGTATTTATAGTGAGATCTATATTAAAATCAATCATCATGTCATCCTTATCATCATAACATTCTTTGGTACCTATTTTGTTAAGGACATCAAGAGGTAAGATATAATCATTGCAACACTTATCTAACTTTTTTAGCCCATATCATACCGAAAGTATTGCATCAAAGTGGACTTGCGTTTTCCGCTAAAAAATCCGCTGGCCGCAACTGCTTATAGTTTTCCGTCAAATCAAATTAAATTCCCCTAAATCTAGCGGATATTCCGCTAAGTTGGCAACACTGTATGGCACAAGTTGGTAATCACAATTGGTAATGGTGTGGATCCGGTGGCTGACCTTGAAACGAGTTTTTGCTGTATATAGTCACAGACACTACGCAGGCGCACATCTTCGATGTTGCCAGATTGCAAGTTATTTTGGAATTATTTTCAGTAGAAAACAAATATGTGCTTTTCAGTGTGTTTTGTCAATATATACAGTATGATCGAAAAAACAGCGTCTAGTTGGCTAGGAAATGACGATTGAGGACATTTCCCATATAAAATGACAGCGATCTTCATTTCATAGTCATCGCTGACGCGATTTTTTTCAATCATAGTACGCGGTATATATTTCTATTATTATTTTAATATTTCGCACAACACGTGAAACGTGAATGCTTATTATGTATTTTCATAGTCAATAAAATTAAATAGAAATAAAATTCTAGATTCCTATAATTAATCTAATTGCTCTAGATTATAATGCTACGTTTAAAAAGTGCTTTATTAAAAATTCGGGAAATTAAAAGGATGTGTCCAAGTTTTTCTTTTTTTAATGTTTAAATGCTGTAGCTCCATGTCATGTTCATAATAGTTTTTTTAACATTCCATCAAAACTACGGAGGCCTTAAAAGGCATTTTAGCCTCCGTAATTAAAATTGTAGAATCAGCTTCAGCAACATTTACAGTTACCTCGTTTAATTCTGCTTATACATATATTGCATTATTTTTTCTGCTACCTTAAGATTTCTCTATTCTTACACCTAATTTATGTGATTTTCTTAGCATAATATGATTTATAGACCATATTTTTCCTAATGGAAGGATGGAATAGGATATGCAAAATTAAGATATTTTAACATTTATTTTCCAGACAAAGCATAATATAGTATTAAGATTAAGACATAACAAATATTATAAGAAAGATCTTAATATAAATCACAAACTAATTACAAACTAATCTTAATTTGGTCTTGTATAAACACAGGTATAAAACTAATAAGATCAAAACGCAACCTTCACCATATTGTCAAGATTTGGCATTATAGCAAACAAGAAATTACAGTAAATTAAGAAAAGAATATCAAAGTACACGATATTAAATACTGTAATGTATTCTACGGCACAAACTATCTCCCTTCTAAAGAGAAAAAGATAAAACAAAGCTTATTTTAGTCTTATTAACAAACTCTTCGATAAAATATATGTCTAAAATTGGCTATTAATCCACTAACTTGATATTTTTAAGAAATTATGATACAAACATTATAATCAAAGTATATTATATTAGTAACATTATAGGTAAGATGTTACCTCTATCTCCCATTGACGTGTATTGTTCTATAAGACTCGTCATCATGATACAAAGAATACAAGGTATGATATTGCGCAGGTTGGTCACTACGTCACAGGTGATAAACGGCACCATTGGTCGGCAAGCTCTGCGCGCCAATTTCAAATTGTCAAACAGATTGTGTCATCTGTGAAATTTGATTGTGTCAAAATGTGAAAATAATTTTTCAAATGTCAAGTTCGATGTCAAAACATAACTTTTGGGGTTATGTCCTAATTCTTCCCTATTTTAGATCTTTTTTTATTAGTGGCAATTGAACAATATGGATATTTTTTGTATGGCGTATGACGTCACAGGTGGTATGCGCAAACTTAACGAAATTGGAGTCGCTATCGATCATACCTTGTTTTCTTTGTACCATGACTCGTCATGGTAGTACCGTATGATCGAAAAAAAAAACGGCGTCCAGTTGGCTTGTAAATGACGATCGATGACATTTCCCATATAATTTTACATATAAAATGACAGCGATCTTCATTTTATAGCCATCGTTGACGCCGTTTTTATTCGATCATACGGTATTTCAAAACATCAATACATATAATCAAAACTATTCTTGCCTGTAAATAACTAGAAATTAAATAACTTGAAAGAATTAAAATAATTCTAATAAGTTTAAAACCATTAAGAAAAAAATTCGTAAATGATAATTTTTAATTCTTATGTAAATATATAAATAAATGTTATTATTATTACAATTTTATATATTCATAATACTTTCATTTCACAATCTTCATTATCTTTCTTACCTTAATTTTGGATATCAAGATAAATCTGAAATTCTAAAATTAATTATAGAATTTGTATTATAATTGATTAACACTCAAAAAAAAAATTTTCAACTGCAAATAATTCGAAAATAAACTGCAATTTGGCAACATCGACCATGTGCGCTTGCGTAGTATCGATGATCAAATGCAGCAAATATGGGCTTCAAGGTCAGCCACCGGATCCACACCTTTACCCACAAGTTTATGGTCTTCAGTTAAGGAAAGAGTTAAGGGTATCACAGATAATAAAGTTTATATCTATGGATTATATGTTATCTGTGGTTGTATACTTCGTAAATTTTATAGACTCTTTTTTTCAACACGTCGTAAATCGCAAATCCTGTATTTCAAAGAGGCGATTACTCAAAAGTTTTAACTCTGGTTTAACACATGTCCTTATTCCTTTATCTATGATGTATGGTGTGTACAAATACGTTTAAATTACCTATACGGAGGCTACCGCTTAAATGCCTGTCCCGATGTTAAAGGATGGCTATAGAATTTCTAGAATTTCCATGCATTTCCTACATAAGTCTATCCTTGTGTGGTAGGAGGTTTGACTAAACAAGGATGAACCTATGTCTTGAAACCATTCGACTCGATTTTCTGTCCTCCTTCAATACAGGGACATAAATTTTCTCATTGCTCTTATGGGGAGGCCGCGGTATAGGTAATTTAAACGTATTTGGGTGTGTAGAGGTTTGGTTTGGTTTGGAGCTTGGAGGCTTGGTGACTTAGACAAGGAAAGAGAGGGGACGGCTAACACGCATATTCTCCCGTGATCGGTTTGTGAGGCCAAAATTCGATCGGCGGCCATACTTTGGTGACAAGATTTCGAGGTGACACCGAGCGAATTTTTATGTTTTTTGTGACAAATGTTTTGTTTTAAATTTATAAACGCTATTGTTTAGTATGGAGAGATGTTCAGCGTATGGCTGCAAAGGCCGAAGCGAGAAAAAAGTGGCTGGAATTACATTTCACAGGTAAAAATCGAATACACACAACTTTTGTTATGTGGTCATAAAATGTACATTTTTTTCATTATAGCAGTAAAAATATGTAAAATGCTTTTAATATGTCTTGTACCACATCCAAACCAAACTATTTTTAATAAATCCAAGTAGTATTTTCAATATCCTGTATTATAATTAATATTTGAAACTATAAATAATGCTACTCAGCATGGATTTCTCCAGTGGCGTAGGGAATTATAATCAGAGAAATGCAATTTCTGCAATAAACATTTTTTTATATATTTTACATGTAAAAAAATGTATAAAGTATTGTTATCAAATATGTAAAATAATTGTAAACTAAAAAAAAATTAAAAATTCTAGTGATAAAAAATCTATATGTATAGTTGTTATATAAAACTTAAATTTACCTGCCAAGATTTGCTTGGGGTGGACAAACTTGTTACTACATATATTTTTTAAGTATTCTTTCAAAAAATTTGCTAATTTAGGTGTATAATAATAGTTTCAGTGAGTAATTAATAAAAATTTAAAAATAAATAAAATATCACAAAGCTTCTAGAATTGTTTATTTTTTTTGTGGAAAATTAGGATATTCTTATGATTGAAGGTAACAAATATTAAAAATTACATTATTCATTGAATCCGTACGCAAGTGTGAAGGGGAATGGCTAGATTCATTATTATACCGTATGGTCGAAAAAAACGGCGTCCAGTTGGCTTGTAAATGACGATCGACGACATTCCTCATATAATTTTACATATAAAATGACAGCGATCTTCATCGCTGACGCCGTCTTTATTCGATGTCGTTTTGTATAGTTTTTATGTCATTTTTTATGTAGAATTATATGGGGAATATCATCGATCGTAATTTACAAGCCGTCGTTTTTTTTCGATTATACAGTATAATAATGAATCTAGTCAATTCCCTTCACACTTGCTTACGGATTCAATGAATAATGTAATTTTTAATATTCATTTGTGAAATTGTCATTTCCAAACAAACAAGACGCCGTTTTTTTCGATCACAAGTATATATGTATATACACGTTTAAAACATATGTTATTACATTATTTTTTATTTAATTATACATTATACACAGGTTAATAAATAGATAATTGTCTGGATAATCAGTCCACTCTTGACTGTTAAATAAATTTTGCATTATCGACTTAGATATTTTAATATTATAAAGGTGATACTATAAAATACAAAATTGTATATGCATTACTCTAAAATGAACGATATATTAGTTTACGTTTTAATAAATATTTTGTACCGTCTAGGTACAAGCTAATTTC